TTATGTTGTGTACGCCGTTATATAAGATTACTAGCTATACTATAGCCATAAACACCGTCATATTCGCTCACAAAAACGATTCCCACTACACTTACAAGTAATTATATTTATTTTCAGAAGTAGAGCTAAACATTTAATTGTAAACAAGACCGTGCATAGCTTGAATTATTCTTTGACAAAATTAGTATAGTACTAATTTTCTCGTGTGAGTGTTCAGTTAAAAAAATGTGATGTCATTTCAGCATAAATTATTACTAATACAATAATTCGTACTTAAGTAAGTTTCCACAGGGAGAAATGGCTTTAAGGGAAATAAATAAGTTATCAGGAGAATCCCTGAACAAGGTCAAGAACATCATAAAGTGTATCGAAACCTTTTAGATTGTAATTGGTTTATGTCCAGGTTTTTAATAAATATATCAACCATTTGAATGAATCTCCATACAATTTCTCGTGTGAGTGTTCGGTTAAAAAAATATATGATGTCATTTCAGCATATTATTAATACAACTATTCATTCGTTGATGGAGTAATTCAGTGTGCTCTAATGACCAATGTGCCAAAAATGAAATGGCAATTTACTTACAATCATTTTTGGGAGGAGAAGGGATTTAAAAAAAATAAGGGAAAAGGAAATGGGGGGGGGGGTTCTTGAATTTCGAAAATACATAATAAGAAAGTGTATATCAAGAAAGTGTGGAAAAGCTGTTCATCGTTCAGTTATTTTTTTTAAAGATTGTTTTGGAGGAGCGCTTGAACTCCCTCCTGTAAGAAAAATTTCACTCAACGATCCATTTTCCAAAGTAAACAAAGTGAAAGCACAATGCGCGTTTACCCGTCTGACAGTAAACGCGCCGCCATTGTTCGGCCGCGCATTCGTGCACAAACACGGCGCGATGTCCTATCCAGTCTGTGTATATGGAGATCAATGGGCATTACTTTGTACATCGAGTTAGCGCTCTAGTAATTTAATATAGCTCATGATTCCATGTTTATTCCGAATTAAGGCGCGCATGTACCACGTAATTAAGACGTAATGAGTTTTGCTTGAAAGTGTGATGCGGAGGAAGTCCGGTAAACGTATTCCAGCCACACATGGGGCCACAAGTCTAAGTAATATTCGACAAGACAACAACATGGCATGGTATTGTACGGTAAGGTAATATTGAAAACAATTTTGCATTATTATTCTGAAGTGATAACTCAGAAAAAAAAATCTCAGAAAAATGTTCACCAATTCAGTTAGCTTTACATGTATTTCATTTGGATCATAATTACCCGAGTTTATATTCAATTCGAGAAAAGTACGGACAGATATTACTAGTATACCCCCACCATTAAAAGGACGTACACAAAAGTCTGGGCAAATAATAATAATAAAAAACACCCTCCACTAATGTACAAATTATATTAGTACGGTACAACCTAATGACCAGATTTTAGTGAACTTTCTGTGTAAAATATAGGCCGGGAATTGTGTTTTAGAAAATAATGCTCCATTCAGTACAGTACAGTGTACCGTAAAACAAATGAACACATATGTATACCAGCTATTTTCTGTCTACTTTTCCACCAAATTATACTCAAATCTTGAGCTATTAGAGGTTGTGCTATGTGTTGAGATAAGCCAGTTCGGTATTTCAACTACGCATTTCCAAAAATTTCCAAAAATTCTAACCAATCATAGTCGTCCATGTAGGCAGCATCTTTAAAGATATATCAAAGGCACTTCTTATTGTATGGCCGGTTCAACATCAAAAAGCCGATCAAAATACTATTCCTTTCAATTTCAATAAGAGGATCCAGTCGGATACATTGATGTTGCATGTACGCGCAACCCTCAATCATCTTCATTAATCCTACATGTGAAAGTGGATTTCTAAAACAAATTTAGTTCACAGCTCGCTTGAACTTTTTTTATATTACTATTATTTTTACAGCAGTTCATTTGTTCCCTCACTGCAAATATAAAATATCAGAAACACTTTGTTTTGACATGCACGTCATCATGCCCATGTGAATTATGAATCAGCCTTTTTCATCTGCAGTGACATATCGAGCTAAGAAAAAAAAATGGTCGACTGCCTTTTGTTGTAATATTGAAATACTGCATTAAGTCTTAGAAATAATTAAATTTGCAATATAGTATGGACAAAATTACAGAAATATACATTTTTTTTTAGTATCAAAATAGACACCTACATTATCTACAACACCTAGACAAAAATTAATATTTACAACTATTATTTTATGGCAGAAAAGCCCCCAGACCCAACTACATGGACAGAAACCATTTAAACTGAAGAAAAGACTGCTCAATATAACTAGATGTACAGTATGTTTACGGCATAAAAAAATTGCAGGTGCATTCAAAAGCAATTTTGTCTAGTCTAATGCAATGCTGTTAAAAAAAAATATGTCTTCAACCAATGGGCATAACTTAACACTTTACACAACTTCTTTTACAAACAGAATCGTGACATATTGCCATATTGGATACATGTAGCCTACATTCCGCGGAATATGCATGTCAAGGTATTGCACTGTATGAACATGAGCATTGTCTCATCACATGCATATATAAGGGGTGGGGTGGGGGGGGGGGGCAGGCCTCTCCCCGATTCCTTATCCCCTTTTCAGAATTCCCTTAACATGTGATTGACTTCAGGCTGAATAACACGGGTGGCTGCTGTATGTTCCGACACCCTTATGTTCCGACATCCCTATGTTCCAACAACCCGCACATAAGATTGTTAGCCCATTTAGGGTTAGGGTTGGGGTTAGGAACATGAGCAGTTGGAACATAGGGGTGTCAGAACATGTATAACCGAATAACAAGCAACTAAGCCCTGTACAGTCATGGAACCTTCCACTGTCATATAATGAACATGCCAAGCACTCTATTTGCTAATAACTTGTAGTACACAAACATGGCCCGCAAAGCTTTAATGTACAATTTTAAGGCTTGGGACATTTTAATTATATTCCTTAGAGCTGAAACCAAATCAGCACACTATAACTCAATATTGTGAAAAAAAAGATGTTCTGCTAAATATGATCCAAATTTTAATATGTTCTCCCAACACTTCAGATATGTACATATACATCAATAATTACAAAGGAAACTTCGCAGTAACATCAAAACAAAGACTACAACAAAACAATAATTACCAAAAATAATCACCTTAAAAAAATGTTAACAAAAAAGTTGAAATCATCATCCCACTTACAAAGTCAAAATGAAATTTAGCGTACATGATTTGGGAAGGTACTAGTCATTGCCCAAGACGTCCGTGGTGAAGAGCGATAGCTGCATTGTTGTGTAAAGCCCTTGCATAATTGTTTTTTTTTTGTTTTTTTACTTTCTCTCGCTAAAAATAACGTCTTGGTAATTTCGTAGCAATGGTGGCGGGGCCATTTTATGTAAATAAGACCGTCTGTTATTCGAACAAATGCAGTTCCCTTTTATAGCTCCATGTTTGATCACCGCAAGTGCAGCGCATATGTTTACAACCGTCCAGTGGGCCACATGAACGTGTTCTCTATCAACTTAGGTTTTGCCCTTCACCGACGTTTAAACGTCGGTGAAGGGCAAAACCTAATTTGATTTATATCACCCCGGCGCAAAATTCCATCTTATAATAGTTCATGCGGTACCCGCTGCTATGTACATCAGATTCGAACCAACCAACCGATCCCGTTAGCTCGGTGGTCGAGTGGTAAGACATCTGCACTAGAAAGCAGGAGGTCGTGGGTTCGAGTCCCACCCGAGTGATTTTTTTTCCAACTTTCACTCGGGAGGTAACACACCGAGTATACAGTGTTTAAACGTCAGTGAAGGGCAAAACCTAATTTGATTTATATCACCCCGGCGCAAAATTCTATCTTATAAGTGTTCTCTATCGCTGATTGGTTCCCTAGGAAAGCGATGATGCACGGTTGTAAACATGCACGCTACGTGCGCTTATGTTTACAACCATACGCGTCAGGCGAGCCATCCTGTTCTCGATCGCTGATTGGTTCCCTAGAAAAGTCTAGGGAGAAGAAAAAGAAAAGTTAAACCGCTGAAACGAAATGGCCAAGACGTCAGTGCGAGTAGGCCCGCTGGTCTTAGAGGGCGCACTATATGCGTTGTCTACTATCGATCACAAGCGTCTTGGGCCAAGACTAGGAAGGTACATGTAAGGAGGAATAACTATGTTCTATGTTTCAGTCTATCTGAATACAGGGTATATGCATCATATACATACTAATGATCAGAAAATATATTTGAAGCAACATTTCCTTGAATTGTTTTTTCGCAGCTGTGTAACTTTAAATTTCACATAAAAGTTTTAAACACCCTGTATGTAAACAGCAGACATTTTTCACTTGTGCGTTCACTCCCTGTGCACATTTCGGGAAAAAAGTTGCAACCAGACGCCACTTCTGCGATTGTGTACAAAGTCTATGGAGAGTCACAACATTTTTCTAAGTATTTCCTAACAAAATTGGAAATGTGTCTCCTCCAGATTCATATCTTATCATCATTTTTGCCATGAATGACCTTCATTGAAATGATATATGAAGAAAAAAGTTGTGTCAGGTTGCAACATTTTTTCATCAAATGTCCCTTAAAGTACAAACTCTACATGTACATATTTATATGAAAGTGACATATGAAAGATACACTTTCCATACAAGCACTGTGTCATAAAAAAGACCAGAACAGCATACTGAGCAGCACTGAAAACAATTAAATGACAGTCTGCCACACTGCACAGCACACGTACATGTACTGCATGCCAAATCATACGCAAATTTGCTCTAGCCCCAGTTTACCCTTCGGCTACAAGTCAATGTCCAGAATGGCTGTGTAGTTACATATAAGTGTTGTTATCTTAAGAATCTGGTCAGTTGCTTTGATGAAACTGCTTTGATCTGCTTTGATCAAAACAAAAGTGAGCTGATTTGTACTATCGACCAAGAACAAAGTATTAAGAAAGACACTACTAAAAAAATCTAAGTCATGAAAAATACAAGATTTATTTTGGCCCCATCACGAATCTGAAGTTGTAAACAATATAGGTTTGGCACAGCAAATGCCATAGTACTTTTTGTTCTATGTCATAGTAAAGAATCCAAAATTGACAGACACTTAAGTGTGTTAATTTTATGAGGTACTTTTCGAGCACAAACTTCTGACACAGGGTACAAAACGAATAAAAATTATCTGCCACATGTGACTAAAGACAATTCATGCCTTCAAAAACAGAGATATGTAACCATAAGTCCATTACGTCCTGGTTCTCTTCACCTGACTAATGTGCAGAGATCAAACGACACATACTTTGTCCTTGTCTTTTGAGGGGCATCCAGCCCTCTACAGGCTTACATATGGTCTTAGTCCAAGACAGGCTTTGGATTCTCCTTATACAGCCGGTTTTTGTCAAGCGTGGCAAAGCCACCGTGGCAGTAGAGGTCCCAATCAAATCCAGTCGTCTTGTTGGCACTACTCAGGAAATTTCGAGCAAAACCCGTGCAAGATGTATTCAAGCTAATGTATGCCCGTGGTGGTCATTATCGACTAGATGAATCAAATCCAGTCTCGGGAGTATTGTTAGCACTACTCACGCAATTCCGAGCATACATGAATCTCAGAATCTCAGAAAGTTGACTGGATATCGCCGCTAGGCATCATCATCCAGTTTGACTTCACGCCGGTGCCGTGCAATGCATGTACCTCATGCATGCTGTATTCAAGCTAATGCACGCACATGAGGTATGTTCAGAATTTCCTAGGTAGCGCTGCCAATATTCCCAAGACTGGATTTGATTCATCTTGATAGTGACCTCTACCGTAGCGGCTTAAGTACCACGCTTGTCATGGACTGGCTGTATACAGGGACTAAAATCCAAATCCAGTCTTAACTGGACCAAGACTAGTAGCGGCTAAGCTGAACCTTCCTTGATCCCGCAAATCCCTCCAAAACCCTTTGGTGGACTTTGAAGTCTCTTCATGTACATGTACATGTAGGAGGGTTCAGATTTTGGTTAAAAGAGTGGTATGTGCACCCAATATGCACCCTATAAGCCTGTCTCAACAAGTGGCTCACTATATCTTCAACACGTGGATTATCTCACCAGACAAGTTGAGGGTCACATACAGGGTAAAATAACACAAACTGAAAAGATGGAGAGGATCATCAAGGGGTAACGGTACCTGTTGACACAGTGCACCATAAAAAGATGACTCATTACAAAACACATTAAAAAATACAAAAGGCATAATCTATTTACAGCTTGTTTAAATCTTACTGTGATATCAAAATGAAAAACTTCAGAAAGAGTAAATTTACAAAAAAAAATTCCTCAGCCTCCAATTTGATTTGATTCCATATAAACTGACTCCTTTCATTAATTCTATAAACCTGTACACATTACAAATTAACCAAAGTACATTACAATTTATTCGTATTAGACAGGCAAGGTCGATTAAACAACCAAAGAAGAAAACAAAATATGTTTTTTTAAAGGGAGTAACACCTTCCACCAAAACCATTTTTTTTTAATATATCCCTCTAGTTACACGTACAAAAAAACAACAAGGCTCAGTATGGGTCAAACCGCAGTATCCGTGTGTGAGGTCTGTCTGTGTGGTAGTCTGTCTTGGCTCACAACGTCCGGTAACCGTTGCACCTCGAACACAATCCCGTCTTCGTCTTCGCTCAGTGCCACTGATTCATAGGTTGGGGGTGGGCTCAAGGGTGGCCCCTCCCCCTGCTCCTCCTCTGCGATGAAAACGTCCCCGTCAGGCTCCTCCTCATTTTCCTCCGTGATCACGGCGGGCACGGCGTTCCGCTTGCCCGGTGGCGTAGAGTCGGTATCATCAAACACGCAATCAGAGTAGTTCGGTGGGAGGTCTATGGCACCCGCTGCTGTCACAGATGGACGCATGCCTCTTTCATCTGAAAGACATAAGTGGAGGGTTTAATACGAATGACTGAAGAACTTGCCGGCACTAGATCCTGGAGCTGTAATGAAGTCATTATGTGTCCTTACAGGGCATCCGGTATCCAGTCAGGTCAGCTCTTTGAGTGAATGGAAGACAAAGGCATTGTTCTGTCACTGTTCATGCACTGTTGCTTGTGAGCTAACATGGGTTCGACTTGTGATTGACTTGAGACATAATGAAGTCATGCTTTGTTCACATGTACACTTCCTCATAGGAGCTTGGTGGTTCTGTCCCCACCTGGCTCAATAACAACTGTGTTAGACCGATTTGTTTATTTCAAACCCACAAAATGATCTACAGAGGATAAAAAGTTATGTTATGCTACAATGTATGTGTATTCAGATCCTGCAAAATATGGCAACAATTTTACACAAGTTCCTGGCACAGGTAAACATCCCCTGAATATACCGATGTGGCCAATTTTACCAATGAAGAAAGTTTGATAGTTGCTGCCCAATTCTGATGTGAGACAAAACAATACTTTCAAAATGGTTGGTTGAGCCGATTCAACAACTGTTTTGAGACTGAAAAAGAAAAAGAACGGTTCAAGCTGTGAACATCTTTGTTCAAAACGTTTATTTAATATTTAATGACATGTTGTGTAAGTAAGTTTCATGAAATCTATCAATTGTTGCTCAGCTACACAACAAATCTGTAGCATAAACATGATAAATCATATACAGCCTGTCTCAAAAAATGGTACAATCAGAAAAAAAATTGGTTAAATATGAAATTTCAAAATAAGTCATTCTTACTTGGCATAATATTAAAGAACAAAGACTGGGCTTTCCAATAGTGTTTGTTTGATCTGATTTGCTTATTTGCAATTGTCACCAAAATCGATTTTGTGCCACTTTTATGCATGGGCAGAGTTGTTTCGAGTACTGTGCCATGCTGTCTTGAAGCTCACAAAAGATTGCAACTTGGCAAAAGAAACAAACCCGATTTTTGTATTCCGCAGTAAACTGGAGTTATCTCTGGATTGACAAAAGCAAATGAGATGAAACAAAAAGTATTGGAAAGCCTTGTCTTTTTTCTTTAATGTGATGCTCAAAACGACTTACTTATGTTGAGATTTAATAGTGAAAAAAAAAAAAATCGTTTTCGAGACAGGCTGTACATTGTAAAAGGTGCACTCTATTTCCACTAAATCAGTTGCTGCCAATGGTAGTCGTACATTATGCTCTCCAAAATCAGCTAGACCTTACCTCTACTGTGCACACTAACTATCCGCGTGACTCTTCCCACAGGTTCGTCCGATTGCCGCTTGCGAGCCATGGCAATGAGCCAGCAGATGGACAAGAGGCAGACGGCCCCAACAAAGGCACCTATCATGATGCTGGTGTGCTGGAGGTCTGTGTAGTCCGTGTTAGTGGAGTTGTCTGCAATATAGGCAAGGTACCAGTAAGTACACCCATACATGTAATACATTTTCAGATTCTGTGCACAACTATTGGGTAATAAGGTAAAAGCTAAGGAAACTTGACATGTTGTTGAACAGTCAATATTTAACTTTCATTTTGATGCCTTCCAGCGGTCTGCACAATGTCAGCCCTGGTGGTTTTCAGAGTTTCAAAAGCACAACATATGAACATGGACATTCACTGAACATGTTGATATACACCAAAATAACCGGTACATGCACCAATAAGATATGCTACTGTGGGCAAACTTCGACCAACAGTTTGCTTTAGCCTTCTGTCAATCTGAATGTGTACTAATTTTACAGGCGGAAATACACAAACATGCACTCAAATACTGAACAAGTTGAATGGGCTGTGGCAGTGCCAACATCTTAATGCTGAGAAAACTGCATTATTTGCAAGCAGTTACCCTTGATGTGGGTGCATGACATTAGACAACAGCTCTTACAACGGATAATCGTGGTGGCACTGCACCAAGTTGGCAAGGGGTGATGAATCACTTCCCTGGGTAGCCTAATAGCAGAATCAGGCGACTAGAATAAGAAGCAATTACGGCGGTGGTACCGTACTCAGGCATGCAACTGGGAAGTCACAAAAAAGGAGGAAATTCAAATCTTTCCAAGACTTTGTACAGTGTTTTTCTATTTTCAATGGCACACATTGGAAGTGAAAAAAGAGAAAATCAGCTGATCCGAGGAAAAGTTGCATGCCTGCATACTCATGCGACTAAGGTACGCCTTCTTGAAGACGAGGCGTGCGCATTTTGGTAACCCACATTTTGGTCAAAGGAGCCCGGAGTGTGCGCGTATTACCCGAGCGCGACTTGCGAGTGCGAGCCTGGTGCAGGATGAGTCTAAAGTGCTAACTAACATACGGCAACATATTTATATCACTTCAGAAGCCATTAACATACATGTATAACCAACACAGTGATACAGGTAGATCATGCTTTCTAGCTGAAGTTGAAGCTGTTATTTTTTGGCTCATGGTTGCATGCTATGGATAATTTCATGGGCATCATTGCTATAATCTGAAGTTCAAAAGTGAAATGTCAAAAAGAAGTTACAATGTAAATGAAAGCAGGCTTGGCTTATTGAAATGAATGCCCGAAATCTGTTTCATGAATGAAGTTAACGATGTTGGTGGACAATGTGTATATACATGTACGTGTACATTTTTTTTGTAACTGTGCATGAAGAAGTCCATGTGAACAACCCTGACATAGTACGAGCTAAACATGACTACAAATGTGCGTGTGTGAATTATCTTGTGAAAACTAGATGAAGACAGGATGTTTGTTCAGGCATTGATATGAAAATCTTTGAGTATGTTTGTACATGTACAATGTAGCTCTTACATGTATCACATTTCAGGTTGACATCTACATGTATTCTACTAATTAGGTCCTGATTGTCAGTCCTTGGAAGTCAACATTACATGTATTCATGCCATTTAGGTCTCTTACACCTTTCTCACATATAACCCTTACAATGTACACGTATCATGTGCAATCTGAGGCTGCAAAGTGCAAGAAATTGTAAACAAAATGCTCTATGAATCGCTCTTACTAAGGCAAAAATTATAAAGCAAAGTGGCATTAGGCTTTCTGCCAAAATAGACCCAATAAAGGTCTAGAAAATTCTTTCAGCTCAAGACATGTTATATTTAATACACTGATGTCATTGTTTTCATAAAAAGTGATGATCTTCACACACCGACATGCCAGATGTCTGACATGTCAGATGGCCTACCCAATGAAAAAAAGGGGGAATTAAGAGTTCTGGAAAGTTTAGACAGTACCAAAGATAAGTTTAGATAACACAGGGATTCAAAAAAAAATTCTAGGATTTCAAAATGTGCCCTGGACCCAACGTCGAAAGTGCATTTTCTTGAATGTTCACATTTGCACACTCTACCACCTTGTTACCGTTTCACCCGGGAAAGATCAGAGTTTACAGTCAAGATGTGACCACTCACCCACAAATTCGCAACGGTTCCCATAATATTTGTCTTTGCAGATGCACACTCCATCGATACAATTCCCCTCATTACAGTCACCCAGCCGGCATGGCGTGCCTGCATTTTGATATTGTACAAAGAAATGAGTACCAGTGAATGCTGGTCCCAGTGCTAATACATTGGTACAGATTTTGTGAATAAAAGGTCCGCAATGTGAATTTTTTCAAAGTGCTGATGGAAAACAACACCAGGTGGTCAAAGTGAAATAGTTTACCACCAACCAGGTGTTTAAGGTGCAATAGTTTACTATCGACCTGAGTCCACATGCATTATGGTTCCATACAGGAATATACAGTTGGCAATTCAGTAACTGTCCGGTGTGATGGGACAAACTGTACGCACTAGCTTGCACGCCTGTTGCACAAATATCAAACAACTGATCTTCATCTCAACATTCACAAACCCCTCGCATCTTCAAAGAGCTGCATTGGATACCAATGGCGTTCAAATGTCTTGTCACATCTCTCTCTTGCTGTCACCATCAACGGGGTATGAGGGCACGGATCTTTGCAAAGAGACCCCTCTACCAAACTCTGACCAACTCTCTGCTCCACCTTTTTCTTATTCTCGTGGGTTGAACCTTTTGATTGACAGGTAACTACTGTGGTATGGATTTCAGTATTTGAGTGTGCTAATTCCCAAACGAATCAAACATGCCAAATGCATATCGGAGCATAATGAAGCACCTAAAAGACCCAAGGTAAATTACCCACTTTATCATCGGTCATTCGTGGGTTCTTTTAATATGCGAAGCCAGTTTACTGTATGTTGTACTGTATGGTTGAATGATTCATTTGAAGGACATAACTCTTTCAGATAAGGCTCTTTCACGACCAAACATGTGCACCAATCTTGGCAAGATGCCGGTGTGAATCCAAGGAGCAATATGTGGTATAGTTTTCACATCCAAGTACTGCTGCCAGTCAGTGTTGCTTAACCGTAACCCTCCTCAATCCTCCGGGCAGTTTTGGAGGATTTTGGTGGATGCAGTGTGTTGATGCATTTCGTAGGCTTTACAAGGCACTGCTTACATTGCATGTTCAGCCTTGCATAATTGAGCCCTGCATTACATGTACATGTATGCTTGATATCCTCCGTACTGCTTCTGAAAGGCATCAGCACTGCCTCAACCCATTAACAGTGATTGCTGGAGGATTTTGAAGGAGATTTCGAATGATTTAGGCAATGGTTACCCCTCTTATGCACAGTTTCAAGAAATAATGGATACTTTTTGAGGATTGAGGCAGGATTAAGGATGGTTCCTAGCCAAAAGGGCCTAGGGGGTTAGGGTTAACTAAAATAAAGGGAAAATTGCCCCTCCATAAGTACTGTGAGATGTTAGTTAGTGTTGACAATTGCTCTTCCATTCTGGCTAATTGTCTGAAAGCAATTAATCTTTTCTTCTCGAATGAGATGTCACTTTTATTTACCCTCAAAGGAATTTAATCTATTCCAAAGACTGAAAGACTTACTTTCTTGGCAGAGTGGTTGGAGGAAGTTGCCCTTGCAGAAACAAATGAAGCCTGGCCCATTTGACATGGGCTCACATGTTCCTCCGTTCTGGCACGGCATTGAAAAACAGTCATTGTTTACTGTTTCAGAAAAAAAGAGAGAAACTTTCCATATAGCAGATGTCAGTAATTACATGAATTATGTAATATTAGATTGTTTTGAGGGGAATGTACATGTAAGAATATAATTATTGCTAGAGCTATAACAATAGCAAGTGCATTGTATTCTTACATGTATATCCTCCACACACACAAAAAACATCCATTATAATTATTTATATCAGGTTGACTTTATCCGAGAAATCTACATTTAATGAAGATTGCGGTCTGCTTTCCTCACTTCCACATTAACACTTTTCCAGCATCTCAAAACCCATCGGTAGATTCTTCGCAACTTGTATTTGATGTTCGCAGAAGTTGCTGTCACCCCTGTTGCTTTCAAGGTATTTTAGCGTATTTAGTTCTCAAATTTTGTTGGATTTTAGCTGGCTATACATTTGTAGTTGTTGGCAAACCAGTACAGTGCGATGTGTTCGTGAATACCCTGGATGTGCGTGCACCCAAACTGCGTGCTACGGTCTCTTGACTGGTTGACAAACATGAGTTTGTACATGTACCGTACATGTACGCTCTTATTGAGTAGGAACCAGCGAATAACTGAGCATGTCAAATATTTCGTTCAATTTGGAAAACTTGCTTGGTATGCAGTGATTCTCTTTAAAGTGCGATAACAGAACGACATACCCAAGAAAGTGTAAATAAAAGCTTTTACTTCTTGGCTGGTACAATGAACATGTGTACATAACCTTTCCTATCAGGGAGGCATTGAGCGCTGGTTATGCGACCCCATACGCCAGCCGATTAAAGTCCACTTTCTAAAATCATGATCATCATGTCATTTCAAAATCTGGACTACATGTAAGCTGTTGATTGTTTTGGCTATGATATTTCTTCTTTGGAATTTGTTTAAAAAAGAACAAAGGAAACCTTTCCTATGGAAATCAAAGCCATTTATCCTGGTACTTGGGAAACTTTGGAAATGAGAGTGATTTAAATTGAAAATGTATGTAATTTCAGATAATTTAATGTACCAGACTGGCAGAAATCTCCGTAGTATCCATAGCGGCACCTGCATGAAGGTCCAGGGGTGCTACAGGTTCCTCCGTTGAGGCAAGGAGAGGGATCGCAGATATCTTCTGATTATGAAGAAGGGAAGTCAGATAACCAAACCACACATCGAAATAAATTCCTGTCCTTATCTGACCCTGACACTATAAGCAGGATTTCATTTTTTGAGTTTTAGAAGATCAAAAAAATACTATATTTTGGGGTAGTATACAATTACATTTGCAAACATCCAAAAACAAAACTACCAAATTGTTATGAAATACCTTACTTGACTGGAAGTGAATAATAGTCTCAAGCATCCTACATTGTACATGTATGGAATCATGGCACCTGGTGTGCCGTCACTTTCAAGAAAAGTTGATTTTTTTGTATCAATTTCCAACAACGGTCAGCTGACCTTTGTTGGGGGAAAGAAACTGACTTTTTTTTCAAGCACTGCCCCCAATTTACTTAATTTAGTTAGTCCACATTTCGTTTGCAATCGGTAACACATCCCTGAATGGGATTTTCCAGCATCTATGAACACAAAACTTATTTGCTCTATAATACTGACCCCCGTTTATCCGTTACTGAAAATAACAGCAAAAGCAAATGTTGTTTAATGTATGTGTACCTTTAACCCTAACCCCTTCAGCACTCATACTAGAAAGTATCCTGAATCTTCCAAAATCCACCAAGTTTGTCGTGTCGTTTTTTGGTGTCCTGAGTCTATCAGAATCCACCACTGAGTCCATCAGAATCCCCCAGTGTAGTACATACATGTATACCTCGTACACACCAAACATATAGCCAAGGAGTTAAACTGTTGACATCCTGAATCCATCAAAGTCCCCCAACAGCTCAATATGGAGGTACCCTGAATCCATCAAAATCTTGCAGTACCGCTAGGCTTACTGTCCTTAATCCATCAAAATCCCCCAACTTTTTCAATATGGAGGTATCCTGAATCAGCCAAAATCCTCCAAAACAGGGATTTGGATGGATTCAGGTACGTTAGGGTTAATATACAAAGGTTGTGATTCGACACAATCTTCACAAGAATTCCTGACAATTGAATTTTATGCTGTCCACAAGACCAAAAAGATACTGATGATTAGCATAGCAGGCTAAATGTATCTCCATGACAGCCAGCGTAAATATAAGACTTGTAGCCGATTTCATGAAACATAGCATACATTTTTTGTAACTTACTTCAAGCGTAGGATTTACGCAAGTTTCTTGTAATGTTGTTGCGCAGCTTGCTTTACTTAATTTAACAATTTAATTTGATTATGTGTATAATTACAGCGTAAATGAAGGATTTCTGTTCAGTCTGAAAACGTGAGTTGAATTGCATGTACATGTACCTCCGCCTCTGGTTTTGAAAATACATTTGTTCGACTTTACTCAGGATTGTGCGGCAACTCTAAAAATCCTGTCACGGGTAAAATAGCAATTCATTTCTTCAAACACAAGGCCGTGAGTTTCTCGTTTCAACCTTCATGACCTTGAGCAATGACAGGCTCCACAACACTCACGATTTGTACATACCATGGCATATGTCAGTCAGGCTATCTCGTGCCTCATCGGAACCATCACCACAGTTGTCTATGGAGTCACAAGTCAATGTGCTTTTGATACAACGGTGGTTTTTACAATAGAAATATGAGTTGCCATCAGCACATTCACCACGGGAACCTTGAAAATCGATGAGAAAGAAAGAAAAAAAGAAGGAAAAAACCTCTTAATATATCCCAAAGCACATGTGCCTGTTTTCCCTATTCTCCAAAAATGTCAATATTGTATTTTAGAAAATCCTCAATTGTTTGAACTGAAAAACTATGCGAACAGTTCATTGTGAAATTGTTTCATAACGCACCACGATAACTATGGGAATCCGCTATCATGGTTTTAGCAAAAGAAAGTTCAAGAGCTGTAATCATCTAAACACCTGTACATTGTAATTGAACAAAGCGGAATTCTTTGTTTAATTGATATTATCTTTTAATTGATACATATTCTTTTGTTTAATTTGATACCCTCCCGTCATTTTTGTCTAACCCATTTATCAGCCTGTCACACTGCATCTTGACTTACTCGGTTCTTTAAAGGCAATGATGTCCATGCTTAGTGTGAGCGTGGCGTCTCGTATAACTCCACGCCAGCGGATGTACATAGATGACTGTGTAGAGATGACTTCAGTCCGTTGCTCTAGGGTGCCGTCATACAAGAGGGGCGCCTGTGACGTGAGGCCATCTCTGATCTCAATTGGGCCGCTGTTTGAATCCGCATTAAGGACTTTTTTCAGTCGCGCAATAGAAAATGGGGAAAAAGGGATACGTTAAGTTCCAACCATTTATTGCTTTGAATGATTGGTGCCATATAACAAAACAATAGTTGACTGCTGTGATGTGGGATATGCCGTTTTGAACCCCCTCCGGGTGCCATGCGCCCCTCGGGTGTTAAACACATCATATCCCACATCGTATCAGTTAACAATTGTTACATGTAAATGCAAACTGGAAGACTGCCACAGCCAAATATTGCTCATCATTACATATGGGTTGTGCAGTATTCCATGACTTTTTTCCTTGAAATGTCAACTTTCCATGACTCCTTTCCGAGTAACAAAATTCCATGACTTTTCATGACTTTCCATAGCAGCCTTAAATTCCAGTATTTTTCAGGAACTGTCCGTGGGAATACTGACATCATACATGTATCTCAAGAGGGTTAATGCAGCTCAATACTCACTATAGGCAGTGAGGCTAATCTTCATCTCCGGTGCTGCCTCTATGTAATACAATCCATCTATGACTCTGGAATTTACAGCGGCAGGCAAAGGTGAAATAGGAACCTCCACCATATGGTAACCGCTGCTTATATCTGGCTTGGCTGAATCTGTGAGCAAAAAAAAGAAAACATTTGCTGGTTGTAAAAAACAAAAATAAAAGATATTCTAGATTTCTGTCACTATTTTCAAAACTGCATGATTGCTCCTTTAGCCTTAACCCTAACCTTCCCAAATCCTCCATGCATTTATATATTGCAAGTGATTAAGGGATTGAGGTTGCACAAAATGTACGGCAGAATTGTGTCAGTGGATTTTGGAGAACTTGTCAAGGTCTAGGCTATACCCTGTGTTTATTTATGCTTAGACATCCATGTATAAATGTAGGCCGAGTTAATACTTGAAATCATCCGCACTGCTCCAGGATAAATGTACATGTATTATCAGCATTGCCTCAACGTATTAACAGTGATTGTTAGAGTATTTTGCAGGATTGAGGCAGTGGAGGATGGAGGTTGTATCCAATTTGTTCATGGTGGTTTTTTTGGTGGCAGTTACAGGATTTGCAGGAATTAAGGGACTAAGCGGGTTAGGGTCATAGAGCTATATTAAATTGCTAGAGCGCTAACTCCTCATTCTGCGCGCCGAGACGCTTTGAAGCCGTCCTGGGCGCAGACATTTTGAATTCATGTGTGTGTTTGTAGAACATAAGGAAAATTAGATGGATTGAATTTTGAAAGTGTACTCTACATGCAACGCGCAAGTAGAACATGCGCAAACAACTTAAGCGCATCATTGACAGTTTAAAAAAACGTGACGGCAAAAAGCATCTTCAGCGAATACGCGCATGCGTTGCGCTGTTTGCGTAGAGCAAAATGACACGCTCATTTGCTGATCATACATTTCGGTTTTGGGCGTATTGGCTTCGATGACACACGAGTATGGAATGCAAACGCAGATATGCAAATAGCCGTACAAAAGCCGTACAAAATTTCTAGGTCTCCATAGGTTTGTGCACAAATATGGATGCGCCCAGCTGGCATTACTTTGAACACGAAGTTAGCGCTCTAGTAATTTAATATAGCTCTACGGTTAGGGTTAATACAAAAGCATGAAACCACCGGTGGTTTGTTTAATAAGAAATCAATCTCTATTTGTACTCTGTCCAATATGATACATGTACTTGAATACATGTACGGGTACATATATTAATATTACAAAAACTGCTGGGGCAGAAAAAAGAATTGCCTGGCAGATGGTCTGTCTATCTAAAGCCCAGACTAGTTTTAAAGCTATACAGTCCATCATTTGCAGCTATCCAAAAAGTAACTGACGTAATTATTATTGAGGAACATACTTGGTTGAAAGACAGTAAGGGAACTAAACTCCCTGTGAAATTATTCTTTCTAGCATGCTGTCATTTTAAAAAAATCTACGAAGAAGGCCTTTAATTCCAACGATATCGCGTAGCTGCAATTGGCTCAGTGAGAACGTGTCTCGGACGCTGAATTCAGGCCCAATTCAAAACATGATTCAGCAACTTGTGATTTGAAATCGAGATCCAAGAATGTTGTTGTTCTCAAAATATAAAACTGAAGCTGAGCTGAAACTTCATAAGGTTAGTTGTTGAGCACCCTTCTTTAGATTTTGAGAACTTTTTGTTGCTTTAAACAGGCATGCAACTGGGAATTAAAAAAAAAAATCAAATCCAAATCACACAAGCCTCTGTACAGTATTTTTCAATTTGTAATGACATTCATGAGAAGTAAAACCAAGGAAATCAGCAGATCCAAGGAAAGGTTGCATGCCTGTGTATTGGTTTAATTAAAACCACACCTAAAACACACCTGTGCTGATCAGCATGTCCTTGACCCAGTGGTTCTTCACTCTACCATGTCTATAGGGTCTATTACGAGTCCCTTTGAAACTTTCAGGTCAAGGTCAACCACAGCATCTATGTATATATGTACAGGTATTGGTACATGAAACAGTTCTATGTACCGGTACCTCTACCCACTACTCAGGTGTGCCTTAGGGTAGACTTGAGGACATCAGCAACTACATGTAGACAGCCACACTGTATGTAAGATGAATATTCCGTTGATTATGAACCAATCAAACTGCTCCGTCTCAATCTGGTAGCAAGTCCCATGGGTTGTGTACAAAGCCAAGAGAAGGTTATATTCAGGTCGGTACTTACTGGGGTAGAGGATGCGCAAACTATCTCCGCATGGCCTCTTCATCAATACATGCATGACATGATAGGATTTTTAATAGGTTTTGAAAATCAAAATTGAGGTTTTAAACGTTTTTCAAGCACCAAAATAGGCATTTACATGTGTTTTTAGGAAAACAGTGCAGTTGTTCAGCATGAGATAGCTATTGCTGACATGTACCGGTACATGTACCTCAAAGTCTCCACACTAAATAAAATTACCAATTGTTGTTGTTGGGTGTTTCACGACTGCAGAAAGTTTGAAATGATTTCAATGTATTTTGCCAAAAATATGAGCAAAAAATGTCATTTTGGATGTAACATTGACACCGTGTCAGTTTTACGTCCAAATGTGACATTTGTACCTTTTAGTAAAATTTCTGCGAAACATCACCCAAATTCACTTTGCGTACTTCTTACTATACATGCAACACAATAAGAAAAGCTTTTGTTATGGTAGTCAGGTATCAAATAAAGCAGAAATGATAGCTCGGTTGTGTGGATGTAACACTGACACGGTGTAAAACCCAATGTCACACTTCCATTGAGTGATTTTTACACCGTTACATCCACACTTGAGGTATTGTTTCTGCTATATTTGAACCCTGACTATACCAAAACAAAAGCTTTTCTTGGTGCTTAGGTGTCCAGTTGTAAATATGCAATGTCAGTTTGGGTAATATTTTACATAAAAAGTGTAAAAAATGGCAAAAAAAATATTTGGATGTAAGGCCAAAAAAAAAAAAAGTCGGTCTCTGGTCAGCGCGCGCGTCGATTTTAATCATGCGCGTCGATCTTTTTTTTTTCAAAAATGTTCCGCGGTAGCTCCAACAGCGCCCTCTATTTCCGCACCTCCTCAATTTTTTTTTACCAAAGAGCACCAAGGAATGGGAAATTGCACCAAGGCAAATGATCGAAAGCACCAAGGCAAATTATGGAGGACACCAATGTACATGAGGACACCAAAAGAAAATAGACCTACCTTGTCTGTACAATCCAAGCTTGAAAAAAAAAAAAAAAAAGCCGCGTGGCCGCGTCAATTACGGAACTTTGGTCTGACCAGAGACCAAATATTTTTTTTTTTTGGCCTAACATTGAAACGGTGTCAATGTTACATCCGAATTAATACATTTTTGCTCATATTTTTGTCAAAGTACTTTCAAATGATTTCAAACTTTCTGAAGTATTGAAACACCTTAAGACAAATATTATGTTGAGCAATTGTTTAGAATGCATTGATATTTTTAATAATATAACCAAATATATGAATGTAACATGCACTGCTTCCCAACCCGGTGGAATGACCCATATGGCAGACTAAAAAAATATGGGCTTTTATATAGTTACTTTAAATGAAATAGGTTCTAAGTTAATTGATATAGGTTTTCATAGGTTTTATAGGTTTTGCCGTGGGGCCTGCCACATGTACCGGTAAGTGCCTTTCTACACTTACATGTGGTATGGTGCTCAGATATTGAGCACCATGCAGCCATATGTATGTGTGTAACGCGAAATTGTGGCTGGAGTGGTTATCTTTTTTTTGCGCAAATACTTTCTGAGCACAGCGATTTCCTATGCTTAACAGGATCATGAGATTAGCCCCTGGTTCTGTCAGAAGCAATTCCAGCTCTCACAATTTTCACTTCATATCTCTTTTACAGCCTGTCTATGCTTGTTTGTGTACTCCCACTGTTGAAATTGTGGCTGGAGTGGTGATCTTTTTTTTGCGCAAATACTTTCTGAGCACAGCGATTTCCTATGCTTAACAGCTTCATGAGATAAGCCCCTGGTTCTGTCAGAAGCAATTCCAGCTCTCACAAGTTTCACTTCATATCTCTTTTACAGCCTGTCTATGCTTGTTTGTGTTCCCCCACTGATATCCATGCACAGGCTTCTATCGACTCGCAACGGCCGGACATTAGAAGTGACTTTTATTGCAGGAAACGTTTTGATGGCAAAACGCCGCCCACTGGCCCAGAAACCCACACTCACACAAGTAGATGTCATTGAGGTTCATGCGCTCTGCGGCGGCGAGGTACTGGTATCGGGCCTGGAATGCCCTGAACGCTGACTCATCGATGCGAGCGGGTCTGACATGCAGCTCTAGCCTGACCTCCCCTTCGTCATGAATCAACATATCTGGTCTTCGGCATCCGCAGTACTTAGTCACTGTAGACCCTGAGTATATCTGGGGAATGGAATGAAATACACACATATTAACCCTTGCCTTGCCCTGCGGCATTGCCCAGGGTGCCATCAGATAAGGGTTTATACATATGTATACGTTTGGCATGTGACTTGAGCCTTTCAACTTTATGTATGAGTAAAGAGTGAGAGTTAATTCACACATTAATCTTAAAAAACAAATAACTTTTCATTCAGATAAATATTTAAAAGAAGTTGGTAGTCATATCAGGTCATCCATACATGTACATTTATTTCCTCATGGTCCTTTTTTTTTTATAACTATACCTCATACAGTACATATTCATATAACTTTATGAAATTTTTCTGAATATGTACAAGGCTTTGCCTTGGAAAAGTCAACTTCCTATACCTCGGGGAGATAATATTGACGGTCAACCCTCAATCCATGTTTCATTCCTACAATAATTTACGTATGCTGTTGGAGACAAACTGCAAAGTTTATTGTGTTTTGCTTTTTACTTTTTGTAATAATGGATATAATTTGTATGGATATGTTTTTTGCGGATTGCAGATAAACCACAAGTAAGCAGTACTTATAAATGTCAGAAAATGATCCTTCTAGCTTCCAAACGTCAGGCCCTTTAAATTTTATGACTTCAGTTTTATCATGCAATAAATCTTCACATAAACACACGGCAGTGTCATTTTTGAAGTTTCAATGCTACTCTGAATTATCAAAATGAAAACGTTCTATCTAGTTTTTTGGCTTGTTTTGAAATGGGGATTACATGTTAAAACACAAAAATCTAGCAAGTACTGGCCATCTCCATAAATGCCATATGGACCCCAAATTGGCTGAATCTCCCCGAGACAAGTACTCGGCACATTGGTTCATGTATATTTGAAATTCATAAATGTACATGTATGTACATTGTATGTTGCTCAAATTCTTCCTGACAATTCTGGCATGTCTGGGGTTCATAGTGTATGTCATTGTGTATGTGTATGACCAAAAAAAACCCACCCAAACTTGCCATGGATACTTACAGCCAAATAATCAAATTCCTCAGCGTCACACATGTTGTGGTGAACGTACTCGCTGCTGAGGTGGAAATCATCAAACGTGAGCCATAAGTCCTTGTCAGGGTCGTCTGGGATCAGTGTCAGCCAGCAGGAGTAGGCTTCAGGCAGCTTGGGGTAGGAGGAAGGGAACGAAGGCGAGGAGAACACACCCTCACTATTGGAGGAGTTGATTGTTATGGTCATGTTGCAATCTAGGGAAAGAATGAAAGAACAAAAGACGAAATGACCAGTCAACATGTGGGATTGTCAAAATATCAGCTTTGGCTTCACTCTGGCCTTAGAAATCATTTGGAAGCCTTTAACCCTAACGATCCCCAACCAGCCAAAGTCCACCACCAGGGTTTGTTGGAACCTTAGGATGATTACTGCACTAGTAAACTGACTGTGATGGGATTAGGCATAATGCAATGTGCAGTTTACCATACATGTATGTGTTGGGATAAATTTGCAAGGATGAGGAAGGTTCCCAGTAAATCACCCTGGGGAGTTAACGGTATTAGGGTTAATACCGGTAACCAAATCCAATCAAACTATTTCAAATATTGTCCTCATTTTAGGGGGGCTGGGTTTTACAAGGTGGTTGATACTTTGTAAGTACCAGTAGTTATCATAAGTCATGTAAGTCTTTTGGACAAACTTGGCTTACATTATAAACAAAGATTAACTCCATTAAACTGCATCGTGTACATACAGTATGTACAGCACATGTACAGTATGGGGATGACCTGGTGGCTGAACAGAGAGATAACATGGATAATGTGTTATGTAATTTGCAAATACTGTGTGTTTGTTTGCAAACTTTTATATCTTGTAACAAATAAAAACATAGCCACACTCTTCATGTTCTTAGAAATGTTTATTCTGTCAGTAATCTGCTTTGCCAGTATTCCTTCAAAAAGGTTTGAGGGTCAATTGCATACAGGTATGTGTATAACAGGATGACCTGGTGACTGACAACATAGTTAATGTGTTATGAAATTTGCAAATCTGTGTGTTTGCAAACTTTTATCTCTTCTTATAAACAAATAAAGACATAAGGTAGGGCCTAGCCACATTCTTAGAATTGTGTATTCTCTCAGTGAGCTGCTTTGCAGTATTCCTTCGAAACGGCTTTAGTATCAATTCCAAGAAAAAGCGGACATGTCTGAGAAATGGAAAATTTATAAAATCTTCAAAGCTGCAAGCATCACAACCTCACTGGTATCATATTATAGGGGACAAGAGCTTCCAGTATGAGTGATGTGGCAGTCAGATTGATACATGTATGGTTAAAAACAAATTGGCTAAAATTATTTTGACACCTTGTTTTTACATTGTACATTTGTACATGCAAAAAAAATGCAAGAATTAACGTGAGCTTTTGTTTTTAATAGGCAGAGAGAAATGTTCATATTTTCTAAGAAAAGATTTTGTTAATTTTTAATAGCTGTAACAGTACATTTGTACATATGACCTATAAATGATGGCTAAATTTAATGAATTTAGGTATGATTTTAGGTAGTCTTTTGGCACCTTGCTTTTACTAAGTACATCAATACATATGCAAACAAATGCAAGAATTATCCTGAGCTTTTGTTTTTATTAGGCAGAGAGAAATGTTTATATTTTCTGTGAAAAGATTTTTTTTGTTTGATTATTTGTTTCTGATATGTTTTTATTTGTACCAAAGATGGGCAGACAAGCTGTAAAGTGACTAGTGAGTTACAGGAACGTGAGTAGCCCAAATACATGTCCCTCTCGAGATTGTTTGATTATTTTTTAATAACTGTAACAGTAGCATATGACTTCATGTACACCCTAATACACTTAAAATATTTTTCCATCGGTGCACAGTGTGAGGAAACTTTCATATACAGGGTATTTAAATTTTTGCAAGTTCTTCTCTTGTACCATTGCCACCAACAGAAATTCATTTGGTTGACCTCTTTTGTAGTTTATTAATATCACTTTATTTCAAAGGAATCTTTTGTGAGTACATTTAAATACTTTGACTTTAGCGATGCCTTCAAACATGACCGTTCGTGAGGTCAGCGAAGTTCGCGAACCAAATTTGGTCCTTAGTTACCAGCCACCATGACAGCAAGCTTGGCAGGCTTATTTCCATCACATGACAGTGCGCCTTTATAATGCTAATTCCATGCTCATTTGCAACAGCTGCGTACCAATTGTATGCGGAGTAGGCATAGCTAGCCATCAGCGCTACAGTAATAATGTTCAGGCTTTTCTGCATCGGCTGCATTTGTCAAAACTACACAGAGCTAACTGACGACCACCTCTTAATGGAAATTTCCTTATAAATTCCAAGCTGATGGTTCTGAATCAATAAAGAACCATTTCAGAGTATATGCACACTACATTCACCGGTACATGGTTAGTATTGGTGCAAGACGTACATGTACATGTAATAGCGGGGTAGTTAATGATAGACTGTACAGCAATGTACCGCACAGCAGCATGCATGTTCCCATCAACGAACCTGACTCGATTGGTCTCCGAACCGCTCTGAATGAATGTCTTTAAAATCTTGCATTGCAATAGAGGTACCGAAGTGTTACAGGTAGGTTCTGGTTCACACGCTGGTTAGTGCGTTGCTGTCAACACACTAAAGCTGTGGGCCTGAACCAGAATACGCAGTAATACTTCGGAAGTCTAAAGGGTGTGATATGCAAAATAACAGTGCATGCGCAGTGGTGGAAACAAAATTAAGAGCTGTTCTGAAAACCGTTTGTCAGGTGACGTGATGTACACACGCATTGGATAGCGCTAGGAAAACTGCAGCAGTGCGTACAGAAACCAGACATGCTAATGCCACACAGTTCAGCTCGGAATTTCCCGAGCAGAAATGTAAAATTCCCAAGACGTCCTTTGCGGCGTGGTAGCAATTAATGTGTAGCGCCTGCTTCGGTGAATCCAATAGCCCGTGCACTCTTTAACCATGCTTGAACATTGCACTGCTAAGGACGTCTTCGCACCAAGGCTAGAGCATACATGTACTGGTACATGTACCGGTACATGTACCGGTACTTTACGATGCATTGGTACATACCAAGACTAAAGACATCTTTGCAGAAGTACAAACACACAGTAAGTACAGCAAGGCACCCCAGCCTTAGTTGTCTTCCAATAAGCATCATCTTCTGCAACAAAGAATACAAATAGACAAGATGTCTTAATTAACGCAAACTGTCAAACATGTACATTGTAATCATGCATGGAGCTGAACAACGAAACAGGCTAACATATGAAGGTTGCCATGCTGCATCTACCGGTATGACCCAAGTTTGGTTCCAATTGGACATGAACTTGTGAAATGAGACCAAGTTCACATGTTCAGCCTATTTTACAACTTGACCCCAGATGATCTTTGACCTCGGTATGTGACCTTTGACATCATTATCATATGAAGGTTCCCAATTTGCATATCTATGATTCAAGTTTGGTTCCTATTGGACTTCAACTTTGGAAATTAGGCCAATTTTACGAAACTTTAATACGTGCAGACAAACGTATACTACATGTACATGTTCAAAGTACATGTACATATACGGACAGATATAGTGATATTTGCATAGTCTCTTTCCTGAACAAAGTTCAGGCGAGACAAAAATAATACTGCCTTGACCTACATACATGTATACTGCATGGTAAACAACTCTGCATACTGGTACATACATGTACGAAATATGTGTGTATACTCATGTTGTATTTTGCACTAACCACAACATACGTCATGTTTGCCATCACATGATGTCTGTAGATAATTCAGTGGAAAAACACTTACGTGTAATATCAATATAACCCATCCTGTATACAGCACTTGTAATATTGATAATGACTGGGTTTGGCTGATAACAAAATACAAAGGTTAACATGAACAATAAGTGCGTGGACCTATACACTGTTCGGTCAATGACTGCAGCCAATGCGCACAATTGCACATGTACAAGTACCGGTAATTGTACATGCGTGTACCGTAGGTTTACCAGTATGTTTAAATACACAAATTTATTTGAACAAATTAATTGTCAACTCTTCATCACTATACAAATATTCTCAAGTGAATCTATATATGACCCAATTACATAAAATGTTGTTACAGTCAGCCAGCTTAGGGCTCGCAATTACAAGTAGTTGGAAAATGGTTTATTTAATAGAATCCTATAGGCCCCCTATATACCGGTAGCTTGTTTTATGATTGGAGCTAGTAAAAACAAAATCTTGCTAGGCATGCTAGGTAATGAGTAGCCAAAAATCAGTTTAAGCTTGGGCCCAATTTCATGGCACTGGTAACAACAGAATTGTGCCCAAATGATCATAATAAAGTGCTGAAGTGCAAGCAGAATATTTTCTGCAAAAACACAATAAAAAATAAGCCAAAAAAATAATTAGTTACGGGATGTACGTGTACAAGCATGCACACAATCCAAAATTCCTTGCTTACCCGTGAAATATGCTTACTACGGTATACACGGGATTTCTATCATGTCTATGCTGTAGTAAAAAATGATTGTGCACTATTCGGTATAAAGCAGAGCCATGAAATTGGGCCCAGTTGCAATTTGAAAGCAAAGTACATGTACAATGTACACACATGTGTACATGTACGTGACATACCCGGTACATGTACATGTAATGTGTTTTTGTGCACAGAAAATTGCTGTATTTAATAAGAGCAGTTGGGCCCAGAATAGAAATGGGATGCACATCAACAAGTTCAGCAATTCTAAATGAAATCATTAAAAAAAATTGCTTTCAGTTGCAGCAATTTTTGTTGATTTTGCTTATTTTCCACACCTGAGTGAATTAAGCTTCCCTCGATCCACACTACCGGTATGTACACACCCTACCATCAGCATGGACATGATGGATGGAAAATAATATTCATCTTTTTTTTTATTAATGAATGCAGTAGGGGACCTATTCGCTCTTTGCACGCTCCGCCATATACAGAGCCTCGATCTGGCAACTAATTAACACAATGATGACAATGAATAGCCGGTTCAGTGATGCCCGGGTATACACGGGTATCACTGAACCCCGACACGGGAATCACTGAGCTTGTGTAAAGTTGCCCGATCGAGGCTCTGCCGGAAAAGTGAAAAGAGTGAATTGCTACACATATTGGGTACTGTCAGTCATCTACACGTTTAGTATAGGCATGAGAATGAATTTTAATGATAAAAACAGGAAACTTGTGAAAAACCAGAAACAAAGATGTGAAATTAGGCCAAAGAAAAGCCCCAAAACAGGCTCAAAATAAATAAAAACGCAGAAATTTGGGCAAAAACAAACAAACAAACAGGAATTCCTGTTTAAACAGGAAGATTCTTCGAACTTGAAACTCAACCATTACCGATCACCATACAGTGTCCATGTTCACTCTCTGGGTAAGACCTTACCGTAACGGCGTAAGGTAAACTTAAAATACATTGTATGGTACATATGTGTAAAACAATTAATGCCTGATTTTAAAAGGAGATTATTCCACAAGGTAGTTTGGAAAATGGCAACAATAGAGACAGAGTTTACAAGTTTAATCCACACAGTGTGTATCCATTATTCATGCACTACTGGATCCCTAAATTTGACCTATACTTATTTATAAGCACTCAGGAAGCGCGTGACCATAGTCCACAGGCATGACAGGAAGGCCAGGGTCACAGTGTCCTGTATGATTTAATGGACTCTACATGTACCATCACAAGGACTTGTACTTCAATGGTATTCATACCAGTATTCACACAAGAGATATCTCTTTACTTGAGAAAATAACTGGTCTTTTTTCTTTGTTATACATGTACGTACCGGTAACATGAACAGACACAATGCAAGGAAAAGGGTGCTTAGGACAAATTCAGTTTCTAATCTACATGTACATAGACACTTTCATTTGACATTATTGACATATTCTTTCAAACAAAATGCAACAGAATTTTTTTCACCACAATGCATTTCCATAAGGTTCCTAGAATGACTAAAAGATCTACATGTGTGTAAGTGGTGGAAATATGCTTAATTTGCATAGATCGTTAATACCTGCCGTGTATACATTATATTCCTATACTATTATTTGGCTAAACACCATGTCTTTTTACTTTTTATATTTTGAAAAGTTCATTTTGGTGATACTTCTTACACATCCTTACTCCAATAACATTTTGTAAAGCATAAGTGACTGAATAATTACGAGGACAACATTAGGGGATCATTAAATGTTATGATTTGTGGAGCCCTTTATCCATAATGTCTGTCCTTCGTTACGTACGCAACACTTTAAAAAAACAATATCCACCATATTTTCTAAACTACAAAACCAGTTCCTTTGCAGGTGAGGATATTTGTTCAAAGCTTGCAATGTTGACAGCAAAAATTGAGAGACCAAGATCCTAGTTATTTTATCAAAACTCAAAAGGTCTTCTCAAATGTCACACTTTTGGGCCCACATGTACAAATGTATTGTCTTTTTATTTGTTTGCAACAACATTGTACATTGTAGCTTTGTAAAAAGGTTCCTGCACTATTGGACATAATTTTGTATTGACAAAAAAAGTTCGAGAAATTGAATAATCCAATTGAATCTGCCATCTTGGTAAAAAAAAATACACACACAAAAACAAACAAAACAACTGCACCCCTCTTTCAAAAAGCCCGGATGATAAACTATTCATATTTTTCTGGCCTCAGTAAGTGAACAAAGACTAGCTTTTTCACCTTGAATATAAACTGCCCACATAAGGCCAGGATGATGAATTGACCACTGGAATTGTTTTGCAGCCAAGGGCAAGTTTTTGGACCACACCACATGTGCATGCACATGTGGTGTGGTCAACGCTGGGAAGAGGGGTATTGGGAATATCAATATCGCGGCCTTACATGGAGGGTCACGTGCTGGAGGAAAGATACAAAAAAAATGCGTCCCAAACTTGACAAACGCAATGCCATTTACGCGCACAATGCGCTGTGCATAAGCACCCTAGGTGGATTGGGTTTTCAGTCCCTACCTGATTCTGTGGGTTTTCGCCAGACTATTCTTCTGGGGTTTTCCTCCAACCATGCCAACCTCTAAAACTACAATTTCTTCTCATTGTCTTCTCTCTACATGTTTCTCTCTACAATTTTGCGAGCTAAAGTGCCTGGGTATGCACTTTTGAGGAATCCTTGGTTTCATTACCAGAAATAAATAAATAATTAAACAATGGATCGTTTTGTATGAATAAAAAGGAGTAAATGCTTCAGATTTCAAATATATGCACTAGTCATTTTCAAGGCTGAGTTGGGGCAACCTTGAAATTATAAAGTGAATAATTCTGTGCAAATATTACTGCATTTCTTAATGTTAATGGGGAAAAAAAATTAACAAAGTTCATAAAGTACAAATGATACCATATGGCATGTTCATATGAATAAAACATGGCATTTGCTTTTACTACCAATTTTTGAGTACCGGTATTTACTCGCATATGAATGAAAATTAAGCAAATGCTTTTACTAAAGACCATTTGCTCAAATCTGAAAAGAATTACTTTTTACCTTTTAGCTTTTGCCACACTATATGCCTAAGCGTTTACTTCGTTCGTTTCGTATGAATAAAAAGGAGTAAATGCTTCAGATTTCAAATATTTACTTGTCTTCAAGGCTGGGTTGGAGCTACCTTGAAAATATTAAAGGACATTCTGCGCAAAAAAATTCTGCATTTTTTAATGTTCATCGCGAAAAATTTATATTAACAAAGTACAAATAAAACCATAGTTTGTATGAATTAAAACTAGCTCATATTTGCATTTACTACAAATTTTTAGCATTTATCGCATCTGTATGGATAACATTTAACAAAGGCTTTGACTAAAAAACCATTTGCTCTGGAGTAAATGGCCTGCACAATGTACAGGTTTACACTGGTATAAATACATTTTGTTTGTAAGTTTGCAGAAAATTAAATTATCGTAACCAAAACAGAAAGCGCCACATGTGTGCACAGCGCGTATGTATACTCGGTGCGCATTTCTAGCTTCGCGCATGTTAGAGCTAGGTTACGTGCTGGAGGACAGATACATTTAGCTGTATGACTTTATGTAAATTTTTTGCGCGTCCACGAGAGACCACAAAAATGGCGCACATTTATCGCACAGTGAATGGGGGCGTATGCACGTGCCGCAGATCTTGTCTTTTTATTCTATAAAATCTATGGCTGTAATACAGACTGCACTCGCGTTGTGCTCCAGGATGAGCTACGAATCATTTTTTTTTTTAAATGTACTCGATTTGTACTCCCGAGTACTGGAGTCCAGTACCGAGTCGAAACCAACGAGTCCGTGCCAAAATTCAATTACAAGGAGTCGAGTACAGGCCCAGTCCAAATAATTTTCGAGTACTGACATGACTGATAGTCTAGTACTGCCGAGAACTTGCATGTACTTGACTTGTGCTCCTCGAGTACGAGTACTCCAACACTGGTAGAGACCAAATTGCACTGATTTTGAGCTGCTGCAGAAAAGATGGTATCATTCTTGATGTACAGGGATAATAATTGTAAAGCACATTTGACTATATTTATATATGAAATTTGCACAATATAAATGTTGATTATAAATTAATATAAATGTTTGATTATTTGACCTACATGTAAGTGGATAATTTGCGCGCACTAAAATAGTCAGCTACTTAACCGAAGCATTGCCACACGCTGCCAATTGTGTGGGATGGGGAAAATGACTTTGTTATCTGTACCGGCGATTTTGAGACGGTGCATACCGTTACATCCTCTTTTCATTTGTGCTGATGACTACAACTTACAAGTCCAATGGGAACACAACTTGTGACGTTTCAATACCAGGTTAAACCCAGACTGGCCGGGACCTAGAGTGCTCTCAAACGTGCAAAACTAAATCAGGCCAACTTTATTCACTCTTTAGCCAGCAAATCTCTCCAAAAATTCCATTGGGCAAAGAAAAGGTCCTCAGTATTTCACCATCCAAGTTTACAGACTCAATTCAATTTTTAAAGGAGACATTACTTCAATATTTTGCACATGAGAGGGAAGTCAATGGATTTCAAAATGAGACTAAAGACTAGACTGGTACATATCCAACCATGGTCCTAAAGACTGACCTCTTCATTCAGTGTCATTAGTCTGGTGGCTGTGGCTTGGAAAAATTTGTAGTAAATCATGTACACGTAGAGACTAGTTCCTGGTTCATGCCACATGTTTGTTTTAATTGGCACAGTTGATCGAAGCAGTACTGAAGCGGTGTTGGACTGGTTGTTTCATGTGCCAGTCTGTTTTCTTGTATTGCATGTATTTAATACCTTAAGTTTTGGGACTCTCATACACAGTATTGACATGATTGAGAGTTGGCAACTTGTGTTCGATTTGATCCAGTTCTGCTTACGATGGGCCTGTGTTGATTTCAACAGGCTTTAGGCAGGACAAAAATGTGTAAACGCAAATACATGTACATGTGCATGATGTGCATACATGTACAATGTACGTGTACATGTGTATACGTTTGTGCATACATGTACATGTACCTAGGTATTTCGTGTACCAAACCAGGGATCATGCTCAGTCATAAATGCTGACAACATTAGTAAAATGTGGCAAACCTATGCAATGCACAAATTTGTTTGTACATGTACCGGTAGTAGCAAAGGGGATCACGCACAAAGGATACAACTTTTGCACATCATCAAGGGATTTCCTGAGTACATTACATACAACGTGTACATATGTACATGTAGGTCATTTCCCTTTCATGATTGATAATCCACATGTGTATATAACCACTTCCATGGTATAACTTGAGAAAAAGAGGCTAGTCAGTTTGTCTGTTCAGTCCACACTATCCACTCCGTTCACAAGTACCCCCTCACACCGGCAAAGAAAGTACAGTTGGGGATCGCTTGCACCCCCCGCCCTGCAAACAGGACGCTGGGATACTCTGATGAATTCACGCTCTGATTGGTTGGATTTTGCGTGACCTGTGACATGCGCGTCATCACGGTCATATGACTCTGCAAGGTTTGAATGGCCGTTAAGACTGATTCATTACTTTTTTATTCCAGTTTAGAGATGTTTATATTTTCCTTGAAAAGCGTAATAATGTACAATGTAGGAAATTCTGTAAAACTTATCTGTGTTGTAAATTTACAATTCCCGTCACTTGCTCAGGCTCCGTTTCGAATCAGGAACGGTCGGATTGCATTATGCGACGCTCCAAATTTTGTCCGAATGGTCCGCAATGAAACAGAAATCACATCCGGTATGGAACGTGTGCATTTCTATGGGAAGTTTTCGGATAGCATTTGCGCACATTGTCTACCTGCGGTCTTGAACAGCTGCAGCCAGATGCTTTATACATAGGCCATAGGCCATTTCCTTCACAAGATTCTGTGAAGCTCATCAGCGTATCCCAGCGTCCTGTTTGCAGGGAAGGGGGTACGAGCGAACAGTTGGGGGTGACAGAACGACGCCATCTTGCCTGACTGCAATATTTTGCCACGAAGCACGGCCACTGCGTGTACATACTAACATGGTAGAAATCACCTGGTGTACATGCGTCACACACAAGGAACGGTGCGCGCGCACCAACCAGCGAAATGTATGTGTCTCCCCTAGAACTTCGGTACCCTCCGTACTAACGCTCCACCGATTTGGCATACTTTGGTGACAGGTACACGGTGTATGCATTTTGTGCATACCCTCACGAGGACTAAAGGCCCCCCAAAAACTGGTTCTGGTTGAGTCGGTAAAATTCACTTAAGAATATCACACCAACTTTAGCCGGCAAGATTACCATATGCGAAGTTCACTAATTTTCCTCTGTATTGACCAACAAGCCCCCAGATAGCAATTTCATGTCATCAAAGTCAATTTGAGCAGTGAGAAAATACAAGCATTTTCTTAGAAAACACTTAGAATTTTTCAGTCCAATCTCATAGGGTTTGTATACAGGGTGTTGAGTGAACTTCGTATACGGAAATGTTGCAGCGTATGAGGATAACCCCCAGAAACGCCGGGGCAAACCCCATCTCTTCTTAGCGCCAAGTGTTGCTGGGTTCTTCCGTGCATTATGGGCTATTGGCACGGGACACATATCAGTACATGAAACAGCCGTTGATTGAGCGCGAATTGTTTTTCTTCATATAGTGACGTCACACACGGGCTAGATTGATCGATAAATGAAATGGACTGCACAACTCGGCAGACACATTTAAATGTGAGCGGTAGGGCCAACATGTATTAAGTTTCAGAATATTTTGTTCTTTTTTCAAAATTACCTGTTGTTTGGAACAATTTAAGGGGTCTTATGGAATGTCATGAATGCGTGGATCTATCCAGGGTAACTGTCTTCTCATTTGTATTCTCTTTAGTTTACCATTTTTTTTGGGGGGGGGAGGGGCGGGGTTGGGCCTTTTGTCCTCACAAGGTAATGCACAAATGGCATGAATGGGCCTACCAGTGTGTAGACTGTGTCACCTCAGCGTTAACATCCAGAAGTGGACTTTGCTGAGTACCTGCGTAGATGTAGATGTACCTGTCACCAAAGTATGCCAAATCAGTGGAGCGTTAGTACGGAGGGCAGGGTACCAAAGTTAATTTTGGCGCTCCACTCAGTAGAGCTAATTCGACTACTATACCAGACTATGCTGGGGATCCCGGTTCAAATTCGCTGCCGCACTGGCGCGCCGCTTTTTTTTTTTTAATAGTTTTCTTTACTTTCTTGTGTTTAATCAAATTGTTCTTTTTATTTAGGCCTATGTAAATTTCATGAATTTATTTTCCTTTTTTGACTTTTTTAATCCATGGCTTTGGAGGATTTTTTTTTGGAAAAAGTTCCGTACTCGATCGCCACTTTTTTCAATTAATTTTCTAGCGCCAAAAGTTACATCTTTTATGGTTATTCCTCCACTTTCCCTCCTCTACTCTCACCCTCTCCTTTCCTTAATTTCTCTTTATTAATCAGTCAGTTACTTCACCGAGATTCGAACCACGGACGCTTGCTTGATACACGAGACTCTTAACCGCTAGGCCGCGCACGATCGCTGTTGCAATGATCAATCTTTGGACGTATTTGAAGTATCCATTGAAATAAACTAAATATTCATGAGAAAATAAATATTCATAATGACGTATTGCACTATCATTGGCCGGCTCATGCGACGTCATGCGTATAACGTACTGCTGTCTTTCAGCCACTACAATCAGTTTTGACCGGCTGCTTCAACCATGCTTCAACCATGGAGGAAGGAATTAATAATTCCTTCCTCCATGCTTCAACTTAGTTCTGCACGACGTGTGCATCCAAAATGTGCTCTAAAAACACATTTTGCCTATTTTTTTTCGCATTTACACAGCTTCCTGGATTCCTCTTGGTTGAAATCACAAGGTGAGGTGAAAATTGATATGTTTGGCGGCAGTTAAAGTGGCGATCGAGTATGGACATTTTCCCTTTTTTTAAAGGGAAATAAAGTCCGAGAGCCATTTGGTAGAATGAAACCCGAAGAAAGACATTAAATATTAGGAGTACTACTTTCACCATCAGATGCTAACGAAAGTGCATTACGGCTGCCGTAATTAACAGCCAATGCATTTAAAAAATGGAGACGTGTGTCCTAAAAACTACACTGTACACGATCACTAGTCCGAGTAACTTGGACCCAACTTATCGCCTTTTTTAACATTTGGACATGGTCTGGCTATCGCCAGACCATGTCCAAATGTTAAAAAAGGCGATAAGTTGTCCAAATGTTAAAAAAGGCGATAAGTTGGGTCCAAGTTACTCGGACCACACGATCACCCGTATTTTTACCGTATACGCACTGTACATGCTGTATCGTGCAGAAGCCAGAACAAGCCAGAAGGACATCGAAAAAATCCGAGTACAAAAATTGCAACCTTCAACATGGTAAAATACTGACCAACTATCACAAATAGCTCCATAATCACACAATACTTACTTCGTACTCAATACTTGAAGGTGTAGGCCTACTACAGATATACAACGAAGACAAATCATCAAGTAAAATCGAACATATGTAGCCAAGTCCTAACCTACATGGGTGTGCGTTACAATGTGTATGTTGTTATGTTATTTACGTGTCAAATGTCAAATCTATTGCGCTAGCGCAGCACACGTACAACATTGCATCGCTGGTTCCCTTGTGTTTCCGCATAAAGTCCATAACTAGACAGTAGTTCACCTGTGAAGTTCACTGCAGTATAAGAAAGCGCGCTGCAGGTGCACATGCACAGTGCATGGTACAAGCAGGTGCACAATACAATTATTTTAATATTATGACATCACGGAAAGTTTTCTCTGAACCATGACATTGAAATCACTTGAATGTGCACATATCCGGCTGTGACTTTGTTGGTAATATTAAACCATAGGCATATTTACTGAGAAAACTTCACTAGCCACCGGTTTTGCCGCCGATCCAAGTGGTGATCCACTACTACAAGTACTAGTTTAGGCAGCTCCGAAGATGAGCTGTATAAGGATTACAATTAAGTATCAATTATAATTATTTAGTAGTAGTAGTAGTAGTAGTAGTAGTAGTAGTAGTAGTAGTAGTAGTAGCAGTAGTAGTAGTAGTATTTATTCGGCATCAGTAAACAACACATACAAACAACAAACATTCCAAAAATATCAAAACAAAACAAAAACAAGAAAGCAAAAACGAAAGCCTAAAAACTGTGGCCCGAAGGCCTTCAATTCCAATACCTCTGGCTACACAAAAAAAAAATATAAATCTATAAAAATCTATAAAAATGTATTAACAGTAAACACATAATATAAAAATGGCAGAGGTATAAATGCTAACAAGCTAATGTCCCCGTTAAACAAAAACAAATAGATATGATTATCCCACAGTAAACATCAAAATACCACGATGAGATAAAACAAGATAAAAAAAAAATAAAAAAATTCAAAGACCCAATTATTGTAGATGTCCACAAGTTAAACATTAATAAGTTAAGAAGTTTAATTGCAAGTAAGAAGACATTAAATTACCTTTAAAAAATGAAATCCAGAATTAGCCACTGAAAAAAAACAAATTAAGCAATTAAACAAAACATAAAAAAGAGGCCAATCCCCCGGTTAAAAAGTTTCATTGCAACTTAAAAGACATAAAATTACCACACACACAAAAAGTAGATGAAAATTAGCGCACAAAAAAACCAAAACACAAACACAAAACACAAAAAATAAGCAGGACAAGTTCTGTTCTGAGCAGCAGAAATCAAGTGATATCAAGTGAGAACAACTTTGTTTCGTCCACTTTTGAGTTCACCAAGTTACGGAGCTAGCATAAAGCCGGCTCCATGAGTTCACTAAGAGAAAAAAAACTAAATCGGTATTTTCATCCAAAATTGTCCGACGGAATGATATGCACAAATGAACTTTATTCATTATTTAGTCATTATTTTTTTAAATAATTATGAAGCCAGGGCAAAGTCTTTCCATGTATAGTGGCCGCTCACCATCGGATATTTTGGGTTACTCTAATTCTATAGGGTCCAATTTGTGGGGGTTTTTTGCGACGTCGTGAATTTATTCACATTTTGCCGACGTCGTGAATATTTTTGCGACGTCGTGAATTTATTCACGATTGCGGTCGTGAATATTTTTGCGACTAGTCGTGGCGATCGGCCTTTGTGGAATATTTTTGCGACGTCGCGAATTTATTCACGACCGATCGTGAATATTTTTGCGACGTTGTGAATATTTTTGACGACCAGTCGGGAATAAATTCACGACTAGTCGCGAACGGTTTTTCGCTGGGTCGTCGACTTGAGAAGAAATAAGAATGGTGATGGGACTTTCACAATTGGCTTTTGTTTTTGTGTGGGGTACTCCTAACTTAATTGATTGCCACAGAAATAAACACAATCGGACGAGAGGCATGCAGACATATCATTCTGGAAAAAGAAAAAACTTTTCCGTACAATTTTCAGTCTAATGGAAAGTTTAATAAAATCACATGGAGGAAAAGCATGTCTGGGTCATGTAAAACAAAAACCCTGTAACAATTTGTAAATGTTTTAATGCACTTTCCTATTTATTTAAACACCCGAAATAATTATTGAATTTCCAAAACAATGTGTTAGATAAAGGACAGTATTCTCCTGTCTATCTTCTTTTAAATTTTTGAACACGTACCTGGAGCTGTAAGCACCGGCAGTGCACGGATCGGACCGCGCAACTTCGGACCGCCCCACAGGCATTCCGCGAAAAAAACACGCTGCGCTATATCAGTCTGCGCCGAAAATGTGCCCAAACTATCAACCTTTACCGAGTTTCTAAGATATGTTCATCCCAAACTTTTCATAGGTAATCGCTAGTTTCTTGTATTTGTACTGGAAATCCTTCAAAACTTCGTTTGACAAATTTGGCTCTACTCCAGCGCGTTTCATGTTGGGACCGCAAACCCGAAACTGGCTTTAGTAAGTCACATGGTGGCGCCCTTTTTTCAGGAAGGCTGCCGTGAATGTGTACACGGCCGGCCACGTGCGCACATGCAATACGTATGCAATAACCGTATCGTATTTGTAAAATTTGCGTGCGCTTGTAAATAAACAGTTAACCGAGTGTTACTGTTTACTGATGTGTTAAAAGGCCCCTGTTTAGGCGTTTTTAAAAAGGGGGAACATCTGAGTAAGTACTAAAGTAGGCCTGAGCCTAGCTGGAGTTACCCAGCCCTGAGTTTTATCATTGGGTTGTCTATTAGGACAACCCAATGATAAAACTCAGGGCTGGGTAACTCCAGCTAGCCTGAGCCAGGATCGAGGATGTAACGTTAGTTTTCGCATCATGATGGAGGAAAAGATTTTCGAGTCAACTCGTACTCGTCATTAGCCCCACTAGTGTGGCCGCGGTATGCTGTGCTGAACCTCGCGCAGCATACCGCGGCCACACTAGTGGGGCTAACTCGTCATGTACTCCTAGACTATGAGGCTCCACGTAGAGCCTCATACTAGTTCTAGGAGTACTCGTCATACTCGTACGTCGTACTACTACTACTAGGTCGTAGTCCCTTGGGCAACTCGTACCTTGGACAACTCGTACCCGGGACAACTCGTACCTTGCACAACTCATACCTTGGTAATCTCGTACCTTTGACAACTCTAGTCCGAGTAACTAGGACTCTACGGATCGCCCGACCATGTCCAAATGTTAAAAAAGCGATCCGTTGAGTCCTAGTTACTCTAACTAGGACAACTCGTACCTTGGTCAACTCGTATCTTCCGTTAAGACGACTCGTACAAATGTCGTACCATACAAAATAAAAAGTACACCTGTCTTAAGATATTTTCAGCCCAAACTGTTCATAGGTGATCACTAGTTTCTTGTAAAGCTACTGGAAATCCTTCAAAATGGCGTTTGAAAAATTTGGCTCTACTCCAGTGCGTTTCATGTTGGGACCGCAATCCCGAGACTGAAGTTACATGGTGGCGCCTTTTTTTCAGGATGGCTGCCGCGGAATGTGTTCACTGCCACGTGCGTATATACAATACATATGCAATAATCGTATTGTATTTGTAATTGATTGCGTGCGTTTGTAAATAAACAGTTAACCGAGTGTTACTGTTTACTAATGTGTTAAAAGGTCCCTGTTTAGGCATTTTTAAAAAGGGGGAACATCTGAGTAAGTACTAAAGTAGGCCTGAGCCAGGATCGAGGATCAAACGTTAGTTTTCGCATCATGATATGGAGGAATAGGTTTTCGAGTCAACTCGTACTTGTACTCGTAATAGTTGTAGTCCCTTGGCAACTCGTACCTTGGACAACTCGTACCTGGGACAACTTGTACTGTACCTTGCACAACTCGTACCTTGGTAATCTCGTACCTTGGACAACTCTAGTTCTAGTTACTAGCAGACTAGGACTAGACGGATAGCCCGACATGTCCAAATGTTAAAAAAGCGATTCGTTGAGTCCTAGTTACTTGGACTAGGACAACTCGTTCCTTGGTCAACTCGTACCTTCAGCTAAGACGACTCGTACAAATGTCGTACAATACAAAATAAAAAGAACAGTATGTCTGGAATCAGAAGGCTTCTCTCCGTCAGCCTTCTGGAATGCTCTTTTTTCGGGGGTCAGCACTCTATGGCTTTTGGAAATGCCCTTTGATAGGCGAAATACCTTTGTCTGAAATTCCACTTTGTGAAACACAAATCCACCAAAAAAGTTGAGCTGGTTGATCTATAACTCTGAAATGTTTTAAAACGATTGCCATTTGGATCACGGGACAATTTTTTGGGGGTGGAAAATCTGAGTTTTTACTCACCAGCCTCGCGTCTCCGATCTGACAAATGCACGGTTATGTTCAAGTGTGTGTTTACGTACGTTGCACGTGCACTGATCTTCGCGTGACCTCGGCAGGTCAACTCTACATTCGGCTTGACCATTTGCAGTCCTGATTTGAGGCGTGCGATCGCACCCCCCACGCCATCATACGCCTAAAAGCTTCCTGAGAAGTGCGAATAATCACATGCCTGAATCCCTCTATACCACACACCTCGGCATACATTTACAGCATAATTATACATAATTTGTGACAAAAAATAGGTTTACGAAGATAAAATGTCTTTGCTGTAAACCAAGAAGAATATTAAAAAAAAAATACCCGATTGTTCAGTCCTCCTTGGACCACAGAATCGCACGCGCAGAAAATCAGCACACGCAGAAAAATCACACGCCTTGGTTCTAGCAAAATCCAGGTGTGCCTTTTTCCACACGCCTGTGATTTCCAAATCAGAAGGACTGATTTGGGATGGAGGGGGATTGTATCAGTATGCTTTGCATTGCGCAACAGTGCATTATTATGTACATCATTTTGGTGCGCTGAATACGCTGCGCTGTGTCGTTACAAGTTGTCAGTTTTGGTGGACTGTTTACTGATGGATCTTTTCATCCCTTTTTTGTCAAATTTAAAAACAGTTCACCAAAAATTTTACAGAAAGAATCATTTTACAGGGAGTTTAATCCCCTAACTATCTTTCAATAAATTATGTTTTTTAACAATAATTACATGTATGTCAGTTTACTTTTTGGATAGATGCAAATTATGGACTGTAGCTTTAATTAATGACTGTTTCGTGTTCTGTTATGTGCCCCGCGCCGTATGACAATGGGCTTTTGGCGCAGGGAACATCAGTACACGAAACAGTCATTGATTAAGCGTGACTTGTTATTAAGCGCAAGTACTTTTTTTTTTGGCCTTACACACGTATGTGTCTCACCTTTGTCATATAGTTCAGTGAGGAGCACTCCCAAGTACATACACATACATGTACAGTGACTAGATAAGTGTGTGATCATGCTGACCAAACCCTTGCTGCCGAGAGAGTCGGGGAGACTTATCGCCTCAAAGAGTCAAGATGTCACCATCTCGGAAGATGGGGCCACTGATGTAGCCAACATGGTGAGAAAACTCTGCTAATATCATGATAAATAGACACATAAATGTACACAACATGCACAAAGTAACGCATTTAGTTGAAAAGCTTACTTGGTTTTAAGATGTTTAAAGCGTTAAACATTATCGTAGAGATGGCTGTTTGTATACGTTTTCTATCCATCGCAAAACAGTTGGTGAATTACTTTTGAACAGCTACATGTAGTATACACTCTGCCCACCATTTTAACAATGCATGGTTTTGTCAAACCTTGATACATTGTAACTCTCAAAATTCTGTCCTAACAAAACAAACTACAGTTTGACATGTGTTTTTCATGCGGGCATGTAAGTCATGAATGTGTACATAAGTTACACTGTTATTTGTTGTGCAAGTTGAATTCTTTTGTGAAAAAAAAAACAAACCCATATCCTGCAACTTACATACCCATGCACTGTATGCATTAGAATGATGCACAACTTGAATTGTGTACTTGCATTGCCATGTAATTTACACTCAGTGTTGAACTTGTCTTACAGATTTTCAAAAGTTTAAAGAAAAATGAATACAGTGTGGAGGCGTGGAAACAACACGATCTTCACCCAAAGCTGATGACAAAGGAGACTGTTGATTGGTAGGTACAATGTACAGGTACATATATCCTGCATATTCAAATGTGTTGAACACATTTTCACACAGTGATTTGATTGGAGTGCCGTGGCCTCGTGGTTAAGGGCATTGAATTTGTGGTATGCGGGTAATTCTGCGGGTTGTGGGTTCGAGTTCAGCCAGGGGTTATGGTGCGTGTGCCCTTGAGCAAGGCACTTTGTCACTCATTGCTTCTCTCCACCCAGGAGTAAATGAGTACCTGTGAGGGCAGAGATGGTTTCTGTGATTGAATTAGCTTCCTTGCGCCAGGCAGCATTGAGCTGTATACTCCTCAGGGAGCTGAGATGGTATTTTGGATGTTTAATTGGCCCAATGATCAGGGGTAATACTAATACTGTAAGCACTTTGATTTAGTTTACTAATAACAGCGTTCTTAAATGCCGATTATTATTAGGCCAAAAAAAAAAGTCTCCGGTTTCTGGTATGCGCGCGCGTCGCCGTAGCCATGCGCGTCGGCAAAATGAAAAAGTTTTTTTTTCAATGAAAGATGATGTCTCAAAACCGCCAAACTCACTGGTTTGACTGGAATCCTGCTGCTGCACAATTTTAACGTGTTTTTAGATGGGGTTATGATCGAGAATAAGCTTTATGTGGCCTCTCTGGTCTCCCATAATATTTGCACTAAGTTTAGTCGGGCACCATTTGCAGTCACCAGCCGACATTTGAAGCAAAAAAAAACAGGTAAAAAAAAAAAAAAGCCGTGTCGCCGCACCACTTTTTGGGCAAGCTCCATACCAAAAACCGGAGACTTTTTTTGTTGTCCTTATTGATAAATGCTTTTCCTTCCAAAATTTGATGATATAGCAACAGCCAAAGTTCAGTCAAGTAATTTTGAAAAGTGCACTTACCAGATAGCATGCGTGTATTTGGGTTACACTACAAGAAACAATGGATCAACAGCGACAAAGATGTAATTTTTTCACAGATGGTTTTGAAAGTGACATTGCTTGAGATTGATTAACTTACATGTAATTGTGATTGACTTACATGCACAGTAACTGATGGGAACTGTGATACCAGATATATGTACATGTACTCACCAGGGCCCAATTTCATAGCGCTTCTGAACAGCCAATTTTCTGCTAACAGAGTCTCCGTATATAAGCACAACATAAGGAAGCTTAACCCCGGAGGAAAAAGCTGTTGAAATCAGTAACTCAACAGTAGAAATCCCATACTTGCCAAACCATTAGCACATCCATGCCATGAAATAGTGCTTATTTAATCATTAGCATGATTTTAAGCACAAGTTTTCTGCTAAGTGTTAAGCAGTCCATGAAACTGGGCCCTAAACTTATGCTGCTTACAAATAGCTAGATGTACATGTGTGCTAAAATCAGTAACTATGTGAGAAATGTTAGAAGTGCTTTTAAAGCCATACATGTAGGTAATAGCATTTGCTCCATCTTCACACAGCTTACAGAACCCTGAACTGAGATGCTTTCATATCAAAGCTTGCAGTGTTTTTGGGGTGCATTTTGCAGGATCTTTGTGTTGGACACACTGAACTTCTCTTTCTGGAGTGAGGCGAATGACAAAAGATTCCTTGTGGACTACCGGGGCAGTTTGCACAGCGGCTACTGGGCCCTGTGTGCAGCTATCAACAGAGCGTTAGATGTAAGCAAACCTTTGGGGGAACTTTCAAACCATAGACAGCAGCTGAAGAGATGAGTGTACAAACATGTGACTCAATTGCATGCGTACTGGCATAGGCATCTTGTGATGGTGGCCTTTTTTTATCCACATACATGTACATGTATTTATTTTTGTTGCCCAGCTGCGCAATCAATTTCAGATCGGTTCAACGAAACTTGGCGTAGCTGTGAAACATTTTAAATAATCTTGGATGAGGATAGTAACAGCATTTTCTATGGCAGTTTGTGCATCATTTCATTTGGTCACGAAACAGTCGTTGAATCACCTCCGCCCGCCATTTTGAAAAAAGGTTTGTCCGACTTTCTTGGGAATCATGCCCCAACTCTAAAAATTCTGTCGCGAGTAAAATGGCAATTCATGTACCTCGAACAGAAAGCTGTGAGTGTCTTGTATCAACCTCGATAAGTTTGTGCAATTACAGGCTCCGTGACAATCATGATATACTAGTAAAATGGTTCAATTTACGCTACCTAAAATAATTGCGCAAGTTATGCCATAATATGTTGCGCAAGTTGCTGATTTATGCACTATGAAACTTTCATGAAATGTGTCATAACTGAGATGTTGCGCAGTGTAAAATGTTGCGCAGCTTAAGTTTGCAATAAATTGTTGCGCAAGTGGAGTTACGCCATTGCGCAAAGTTTCATGAAATCAACAACTGGTTTCACAAACGAATGGATACAGTAAGTGTGCCTGATGGATCATCAGTCTGTGTGGTCTTGTGATATGTACACGTGCATGTCATGTATGCAACTCATAGTAACTCATGTAATGCATAGGTAATTGTCAATGTTCTCCCTCTTTTCTGATGTCATTGATTTGATTGAAAGAGAATGAATTGGAGAAGAGGCGCAGGCAAGCCCGCTTAACCATGGTCTACAAAGCCGTCCATAATCAAATAGCCATACCAATCCCAGGCTACATCCAACCAAGACTCCGTACAACACGGCAACAACATCAACACAGATTCATGCGACTCAGCTCCCGTTCTGACAACTACAGGCAAAGCTTCTTTCCAAGAACTTTGCGGGACTGGGATGCGCTTCCCCAAGACATCATTGAGCTGCCCACTGTGGAGCAGTTCAAGGAAGCCATCAGCGCCTAGATCATAGGAGTTGACTTTTTACTTGAACAACTTTACATGTATCAGAGCACCCTGCACAAGTGTCCACCATTTGAGACAGCACACCACAGTCCTCGTTAAGTTGCTGAAAAGGCTGTAAACGAGTAGCTGCATGGAAGTAGAAGTAGAACGCTCAACATACATGTATGTATGTGCAATTTGTAGGCTATGTGTTTCAAAGCATGTTTAGCCACAGACACGAGGCTTCCAACGGAGGCTTCTTTTTGGATTACTGCGTTTGTTGGTAATGCTCCGATGCATACCCCGAATTGAAACAACGGACTGGCAATAACGTTAACAGATTGCTAAACATATGCGTACCAGTTTCTGTTTGAATGCAAAACTTTCAAAGCATACGAGTATGAATGTTGACGTTGGTAAACCATGAGAAATATGATTGAAGTTGAAAAACTTAATTGTTTTCGTTCATTTTAGTTGGACTGTTTTTACATTTTTGTTTTTTTTGTTTTGTTGGTGTAATTTTTTTTTTGGTATACAGGAAAACATTCCAATCACATCAGCGTCCTATTATTCCCGGATCACCGTGGATCAGCTGAGGCATATATTCCGGTCAGCGACAGACACTGATATACCGCTACTGGACAAGAGACTAGAGCATCTGCATGAAGCCGGTACGGTACTCCTAGAAGTGAGTCATTGAGATGAGCATGAATGAGCTTGCATTTCAACTTTCATGTACTTAAACCATATTTTCTTCAAACATTCTTTCTTTCTATCCATACATTGTAAATATACGCATGCCCCAGCCAGCACTGCATTGTGGGGAAGTTTTCTATTGTTAGAGAAATTAGGACCGAGTTGTCCCAAAACTCTGAAAAATGAAATCTCAGTGAATAATTTTCATAACAGTGCTACACACTGTCATATGTCCACGACACAATGAAGGCCTTGGGCATAGGAGTACCACAACTGTACTTCCAAGAGCTTTTCATGTTGAATGGAGTACAAGTGTTGTGAGTACTTTTATCCCGGATTTTTTTTCTCCAAAAACCTACTTTTGTCTTTTTTTTTTTAATTTTTATTCTGATCCTACTGTTCTGCTTCAAAAAGTTGATAAAACTTCATTTGATACCTAACTCCAAGGGAAATTTTGTATGGGGACTAGATCTGACTTCTCCAAAATCTTTTACTGTGCAGGAACCATGGCACACACATGAACTTTCTCTGTAAATGTTACTAAAGCGTTTACTAAAGCATAGTGTATTAGTTTCAACATCAAGTAGACAATGTGGACATAACCTTTCATGTACAGCTAAACCAGTGTATCTACCAACTTCAATCATCAACTTGTGAGATGAGCATCTAATCTAAATCGAGAAAAATAAAATCTATAACCAGAATCCAATAAGTAACATAAATAAGGCTCAAACTCATATACATGTAATTGTTTAAATATACGGTACCGGTAGGTACCCCGATACAAAGTTTTTTCTTTTTCTGGTAACAATCCTTTAATATGATTGTTCCTTGAATTAGACAAAAAAGTTTTTTTTTGGCAAATGGTGTCCATTACCTTTAGTGTTAACTTAAAAAAACTCTATTTTTGATGCTGTAGCTCAGCATACATTCATCTTTAAATATGTTTTCTGTTTACTTTGTTCAGAAATTTGAAGGTTCCTTTGTCAACTGCATCTCCCAGTGTGACCGTAAAGCATCCAAGCTTCTGCATCTGATCACCGAGAACTTTCCGTCTTACCGAGATGTGGCTATGTTTGAAGGAGCGGCTGGTGTGTATACATGTATTTTTCCTTCTAGATTGAATTGACTGTTGTTGCATGTGCATTTTTGTGTCGCCGAAACCAAGTTCTGGGAGACACTAACCAGTCGTATATTCTGTTAGACTGTAGACCCATATGTTAAAGTTTTGAAAAAAATGTATAACTTCTACATGCTTCATGGATTTTGATGAAACTTGGATGCAGTGACCCTTGGGTGGGAAGACACAATTCCTCATCGGATTACTGAGGTCAAAGGTCATGTAGGGGTCTTTAGCAGTCATTGTTCAAATATGCTTCAAATGTTTTTTGTCGAAAGAATTTGATGGATTTTAATGTAACTTGGATGGAGTTTTGGTAGGAGTTCATCACAAGTCTTTCAAAATTGGAGGTCAAAGGTCATCTAGGGGTCGTTTGAGGTCGTTTAAAAATGCACATAATTTGACTTTAAAGAACACAAAACATAGGATTGGCCGACATTGATGACAGAGGTCAGTTGTATTTTACAGCAAGTGTTTTTTTTGGGGGGGGGGGGCCTTCAAGCAGATTCAAATCTTATTCACCCCTGTTGCGTTTTTTCCTCCAGTTTCTTTATACAAAAGGGCACAGATCCTGATTGCTGACATCTGGGCGTGTTTTGAAGGCAAAAGCTACGGAGAGTTCATTGATATTGATGTACTGACCATGTTTGCAGATTATAGGTAAGATGGGTGTTTTCTAAACATGTACATATATCTATACACTTGTGACGTGAGGTGCCGAACGAGCTGAGATTTCTGTCATTAACCAACTTAGATTCCTATTATACGATCTAGTGCTGCAACTAATCCTCAAACTTCGGTTCGGTTCGGTTGCAGTTCAGTTTGGTGCTGGTGGGGGCATTTCCAGCTAGGAGTTATTAAGGGAATAAATGTGTGCTCTGGAGGTTTTTATCACTCTGTTTAAGACCACTTAGAGTCTGGGTGCTGATAATTACCTGAGCCGGAGGCGAGGGTAATTATCAGCACCCAGACTCTAAGTGGTCTTAAACAGAGTGATAAATACCGACTGAGCACATATTTATTCCCATTCATAAATACCTTTTTGGTAAAAAATATCAAATAATTCGTTCAAAAAATACCGATTTGTTCAACAAGTTCACTTCATGCTTTTTGAAACATCCCTCTAGCAAAATAATGGAGTGTTCAGCTGGCGAGTAAGATGTAAACAGCCCTTTTATGGAGATTGACGCGCGCGTGGCATGTTGTGAGCGATGTCGCGCAGAACGCACCTGGCGCGTTGCGTTTTGAATTTAGAACTATAAAATTCTGACTCGCTGGTAGTGTTGCGCATGCCTACGTGAGGATTGTGAACGTTCAACCAATGAAACGGTAAGACGCACTGGATTTTTAGGGATCTACATTTTATTGCGACACTGGAAAAGTGTTTAAGACCAGCTAGCCATGTCTTTATCATCCGTTTAAGACCGGCCACGTGACGGGCTCTCGACCAATAGGAATGGCTAAACTGTCTGAGGTATTTATGAATGATGATTAATGATAGGGAGCCGAAGTAATGTGAGTCTTTGAGCTGACGCCTCGATTTTAATAAATACAGCTGGTTCATCCAGATGTCCTGAGGCTGAGGGAGAGTATCCTGGCAGTTTTTAAGAATCAATTATTTGTTCAACTTAAAGGAGAAGTGTCTTGTGTCCATACAGTCATATCTTGGTCCGTAGGAAATAAGGTTGCCTGGTTGTATATTTCAACCAAACAAATCTGGGAAATACAAATTTATTGTGACTTGGCATCATTACTTCTAGCAAGGTGACGGCAGAAAGTCGTGAAAAGCACGGCCGCCGTGTTATGCACTCACTGTTGTCAGATTTTCACAATACATGTATCAATTATCTGCTACATAATATAAAAAGTGTTGGATACTATATCATGTGCTGAAAAACATGATTGTTCAGTTTGATGGTTGGAAGAGTGATGCACATTAGAATTTGTGTGAGCTGTTGCATTAGATGAATTCTGTCCTCTCAGTGTCATGGCTTCACTGCATTAGGAAGTATAGTTCAGTATAGTTACTTGTTTACATGTACATGAACATGTACGGTATAATGCCATTGCGTTGCCTGCATCCATGATACTGCATATTGAACCTGATTCAGTAAGAATATTTAGATAAAAAATCTGCATTTGTGCTTTTTGTTTTTCACATGACTGAACTCCAGATATATAGTATAGACTTACTGAAATGTAGTGAAAATAATGTGGGACAGTGTTAATTTTACATTAAAGATATATTCCATTATTTGTAATCTGTGCATTTTGTTCGTTTGAAGCAACAAAAGTGTTCAAAATCTAATGAAGGATACTGAACAACTAACCTGATGAAGTTTCAGCTGTATATCCTGAGAAAAACAGCATTCTAGGATCTCAATTTCAAATCAAAAGTTACTGAATCATGTTTTGAATGGTTTGAATTGCAGCTATACGCGATTTCGCGCACTGATCCGACGAATTATAGCAACCGCGCGCGCCTGTGCGTCGTGCCAATGCTTGCGCGTGCTGCGCCGAATAACAAAACGAACTACTAATTAAAATTTTTCTACGGTGCATCTTAAGACGCACCACAGGAAAGGCCTTCTTTCGTTGATTACTTCAAAATGATAGCTTGCCAGAAAGATTAATTTCACAGGAAGTTTAGTCCACTTACTATCTTTCAACCAAGTATGTTTTTCAACAATAATACGCCAGTTACTTTTTCGGATGGCTGCAAATGATGGACTATAGCTTTAAAAACTACCATTGTATATCTAATAACCAAAAATAATGTTTGTTTTTCATGTCCTTTGAAATATTTGTCACAGAAGTGGTTGGGATTTTGTAATGTAGCAGTTATCTTTTACCTGTTTTACTATTCAGAGTACCCCAGGTGTTGAACTATTTTGAAGTTATCAGGTATTCCCCTCGTCTGCATGAGATTCTCCAGTCGGGGAGACTCTTCACGCCAGGTGAGAGGTTGGAGGTAGAAATCAGAGGCTGCTCCATCTGGGCAGTAGAGGTAAGACCTACTTACAGACTGTCATTCGTTCTACTTGCTTCCCCTGTTAAAAGTAAGATATTGACTGATAGCCCTTGTGGTATGGTAAAGCCTCCTTAATAGTGACATACATACAAGAGCACACACACTCACAACCGAAGAAAGGTAACTGCATTCCTTACACAAATTGTGCTAATATTTCTATTATGCTCATTGAATAACGCACTTATTTTATGCTACATAGTGTACATGTATCCATCATATCCATAGCAGTTTAACATTGCTGTTGTTGAAGGACAGGAAGAACAATTCTGTTGTTCATCTAAGGGCTCACAGCGCCAACAAAAAAGGGCGCGTTTTTACTACTTTGGAGAGCTCTGTGGGTGTGCCCCACGGCATTATCATACTTTACTGGTTCCTGCGCGAAGTACGCATGACTTCCTGAATGGCGTCGTCCGCGCAAATACATTCGAATTTAACTTGCGATGGTCTCCCAGACTAATCCCCGCCACCAATAACTTTGGATCAATCGAAATATGCAGTGCATGGACCGGGAACCAGTCTAGCTAGGTCTCCCCCAACTCTTCTTTTCTGGCTGTTGCACGGAGTCCATTGTGACAGAGGCATTCCTTTTGCTTGAATAAATCCAAACCATCAAGTGTTCCATGATGTCTGAAGAAACCTTGCCTTATGATATGTGCCACGTTCCAAATGGATTGCTCCTAAAGTCACCCTTAAGATATACATGTACATGTATGCTCTCAAGTTTTATTTGAGACAATGCTGGTATCGTTATTATTTGGCTCTCATTCGCAGCTGATACGACAGGAGCTGAAAAGTCTAATGGCTGAGGACTCATCCCTCTCTGGACTGACTTTGAACAGCATCATCATTGACTTCTACCTATGGGACTACTCCAAGGACCACTGGCGGGACATGCAACATGTACCCATCCACAAGATACGTAGTACATTCTATTGACGACAATGACAACAAGCAATTGTCAGCTTGTTTTGGGATAAGCAACTAATGAGCTCAAACTTTCATTCATGTTGTACACATGGCCTGAGTGAGGAATGTAATCAAATGCAAAACCATTTCTTTACATTTAACCCTTGCTCCTCTAGACCTTCAAAGACACTTCATTTTTTGCCATATGAAAATGTTACATATTTATTGCATGGACCAAGAAATGCCAATACCAAATTTAGCAATTCCGCGCTATGCTGAATCCCCTCATCATCAAACTTGTTGCATTGGGAGTCTTTGCTGATCAGCTTGATGTTCAGCAAATTGGCTTACCATCTTCCATGGTGACGTGAGTGCCTTCCTGCATGCAAAAAGTTAATGTTGCTCTAAGGTATCGGCACATGCATTTCTGGCAGACTGGCAAAAAAAAATATATAAGTTCAGAGAGCAAGGGCTAATCCACATGATCCAAACACACTCTAGTAAGAAGTTCGTCCTTTAGCCTGCACGGCACAGGGACATTTTTTTTTAGAAAAAAGAAGCCAAATGCTGCATATAGCTCATGGAACTATGTTTGCCATTAGAGAGTATTGTCAAAAAGTATTATCTTCAAGTAAACTTGAATCCTCGATCCTGATTGGTGGATCCATGGCAACAAGCCGTGCTATATATAACCATGTAGCACGGCCTCGGTCCATACCGCACTCCGTGTATTACGCATGTGTGCGTGTTCCATGAAGTGCATCAAGTTTGCTTGAAGATAAATTCGTTATCACGCTCGCGCTCGTGGAACACGGAAAATGTAGTGCGTCTGTGTCCCACATACATGTACCACTCGGTCTTCGGCCTCGTGGTATGTGAGACACAGACGCACTACATTTTTCCGTGTTCCACTCGCGCTCGCGGGATAACTTATAATATTCAATAAGATGTTTGAAGTAGTGTTGTAGTCAAATCCATAACAAGTGTGGTCACAAGTGAATAAGAGTCCATTTACAAAACCTGGGATTAACATAACACAGGATTAACAGTAAGAAAAAAAACGTCTTTGTCTATCTGTACATTTGAATAGCCTGTGACTCAACTTAGGACTTGAGGACTTCTGATGGACTTTAGAATTGTTGTGATGGACTTGACTACAATACTGGTTTGAAGTAAAGTGCAATATTATTTATGATTCTCTTCTGAGATAATCACTAAATCATTGAATCATTGTACATGTACATAAAGTTAATGGGGCGTTGACTAGCAATAATGCAGTCAATATTCGTATTCAGTAATGAAGCCAATATTCAGTATTTGGCCAGATCTGTGCCTGTTTGTGGTCAGTAACCATGGAAATAGGCCCAAATGTTGCTCCATAATACATGAAGATTTGGTTTGCATACCATTACGGTTAACCGTATCATGGTTACACCTACGATTAGTCAAATTTACATACATACATGTACATTGCAAATCCAACTTACTGTACATATAACCGTTTAGGCTTGTTCAAAGTGTTGCAGATGGTCTGCTGTAGTATCCTACATGTACTGATACAGGGTTCAAGTTAGACATGATGTCACTCATGGACTAAGATGCATTGTGCTGGTTTTGATTAACAGCATTCCACTGATGTATTCTTATCTATCTGGTATTGTGAGGCTTGTGAAGATGGTAAGCGCAATTCTTGCAATGGCAGCTAATTGCGGGGGCATCCCTGCTGTTTGCTCCTGCGCCATGCTCTTGTATTGGGGCTTCTGCTGGAGTTGCTCTCCTTGTGAAGGCATCCCTGCCAGTTGCTCCTGTGCCTTGCTTGTGTGTTGGGGCTCCTTGCAAAAGCATCCCTGCCGGTTGCTCCTGTGCCTTGCTTGTTGGGGCTTCTGCCGGAGTCGCTCTTCTTGCGAAGGCATCCCCGCCGGTTGCTCCTGTGCCTTGCTTGTGTGTCATGTGTGTTTGGGCTCCTTGCGAAGGCATCCCTGCCAGTTGCTCCTATGCCTTGCTTGTGTGTTGGGGCTTCTACTGGAGTCGCTCTCCTTGCGAAGGCATCCCCGCCAGTTGCTCCTACGCCTTGCTTGTGTGTTGGGAATCCTGCTGGAGTTGCTGTCCTTGTGAAGGCATCCCTGCCAGTTGCTAATGTATGTATGTGCATGTAGTAACAACATTCTTCCTTTTTAGAGCCGCATTGAAACTTTAGAGCCGCATTGAAACGCATTGAGCCTGTGCTTGTGTTTAAACAACTACTTGCATTTAAAAGACTCTCTGATCCAAAGACTACCCGTCCATAGTAAACCCGGAAACCTTTCTTTCCTTCTGTTTCCCACTTAAAAATGATATATTAGACTTTGTGTTGCCACTGATGGCAGTGTACACTCTTCGAAGACATATGAACCTTCATTTTGCACTCGATGGCATCTTCTGTCATTTCACTGTCTCTTGAGGTCATACCTTATTATGAAGCTGTGGCACATCTTTGTTGGGTGTCTGCTGTTATTGCAACAGGTTATTTCCTAAAGAGGCTGAAGCTCCCGGAAGACTATTTTCTGGGCCAATGAGCAGCACATAAATAATACGTAATGTTGAGACAGGTGTCTGAGAGTCCTCAATAACTAGTACCATCTTGGATGGAATGTTGTTTCAAACATGTCAAAACACTGATGTCAGTTTCGAAGAAGCCTGTGTATGGTATAGCATATCTGCTTCTTTCAGTTGACTGATGATTTTGTGAATATTGAGTCCCACGTATCATTCTATTTAATTAATGGTTCATATTTTCAAAAGCAAAGCAAGAGATGGACCGAAGCAGACCCCAATTTCTAACATAATCTGCCATGTGGATGAGTTGATGGACATTGTATGTTACATACTTAATGCCATACAAAGTCTCGAAATATAACACATTTTGCGTCGGAAGTCTTTCTGCGTGATTAATTGATGCAGAGAGGATAAACATACAAATGTAGCTGTGACAAAATGCCTCCAGTGTTTGAAGTATGACAATTGAAGAAATTTCTCTGTATAAACGATAGGGGAATAACGAAAATGCCTGGATCACCACTCATGGGCCTTCCAATATTTTTGCTGTATGAGTGATCTTGTTAGACTTGTGAATTTAGAACTTGGTTTACATGCACTTAATATTTTGTTCAAAGTACAAAGCCTGTGCCCTCAAGCCACATACATGTATGTTAAAGTTCTCCTAATGCCAAGACATAGGGTATGCATATCATCGACAACTTGAACAAATTCTGAAATTGTATTAAAATGCAACAGGAGCAAAATCATTGAAGGCCCTTATACGCCATGAGTTGGTTAATTGGACCGTACCGCTTATTGAGCATCTTCTTTGAAAGAATGTTCATCTCGTTTAGTAGGCAACTTGCCCATCTGCTGAATTGGGTACGCGCACGTATGTGCTCACTACCTGTTTGTACAGTTTCACCAGGATGGAGGCACCACAAACAACCATACTTGCCATTGAATTGCATGATGTTTTGCAGCTGGCATCTAGCCACGCTGTCACAGGCCAACGGATCAGGGAAAAGTCTTGTTTTCTAGGCTCCTCAGAAATGGTGTAAGAACAACATTCTGGTGATGGCATAACCCCCCCGCCCCCCCGGCAAATAATACTCTAGCTGACGTTCCACGACCTTGACTGCCTCATAAGCTTCTGAATATTGAGGAAGTCTGCTCATGTCTCATTTGGGTCTGTTAACTTTGCATATGTGGTATCCCTCTTCACCTCGTTTGTGAATGATGTTGTGTCAAATCCATGGATGAGGGTGTTGCACTCTGCTTCTTTCAGTTGATCGACTGATGATTTTGTGAATATTGAGTCCCACGTATCATTCTATTTAATTAATGGTTCATATTTTCAAAAGCAAAGCAAGAGATGGACCAAAGCAGACCCCAATTTCTAACATAATCTGCCATGTGGATGAGTTGATCGACATTGTATGTTACATACTCAATGCCATGTAAAGTCTCGAAATCTAATACAAATTGCGTCACAAGTATTTCTGCGTGATTAATTGATGCAAAGAGGATAAACGTAGCTGTGACAAAATGCATCCAGTGTTTGAAGTATAACAATTGAAGAAGTTTCTCTGTGACAATAGGGGAATAATGAAAAAGTTTGGATTCTACTCATAATGGGCCCCTCCAATATTTTCGCTGTATGAGTAATCTTGTTAGACCTGTGATTTTAGAACTTGGTTCACATGCACTTAACCTTTCGTTCAAAGTACTTAATTGATTGCCAATGTAATATACGACATGATTGTGCCCTCAAGCGACATGCATGTGTCAAAGTTCTTCCAATGCCAAGACATAGGGTATGCATATAATCGACAACTTGAACAAATCCCGAATTTGTTTTAAAATGCAACAGGAGCAAAATCACTGAAGGCTCTTTTATGCCATGAGTTGGTTTATTGGACTGTACCGCTTATTGAGCATCCTCTTTGAAAGAACGTTCATCTCGTTTATTAGGCAACTTGCCCATCTGCTGAATTGGGTAAGCGCGTGTGTGCTCACTACCTGTTTGTACAGTTTCACCAGGATGGGAGGCATCATGAACAACCATACTTGCCATTGAATTGCATGATGTTTTGCAGCTGGCATTTAGCCAGGCTGTCACAGGCCAACGGACCAGGGAAAAATCTTGTTTTTCTAGTCGTTTTAGTTTGATCTTCCCATGAAATTCCCTCACTACTGAGAATATTCATCCCTTCTACAATGGGTTTAAGGAAAGAGGGAAATTGAGGCTTCCCACTACCAAACCGCAAACTGCCCATCAAGATACATATACGCTCCCTCCTCAATGGATAAGGCAGTTCATTGATCATAAGGACTGGTCAAATCGAAAAATGTGAAGATGAAAACATCGCTGCCCCATCTCATCATCATGTAACGCTATCGTCTTCACCCATCGGCAACTGCTTGTAGGACTTCCCTTGTCAAGTCACACAAGTCACAAGTTTCTCTTATGTTCGTTTGGACGTCTGGATCTTGCAACGGATATTTGATTTTCTTGTCAATATTAAAAATTAGAAAGTACTTACATGTACCACTGCTGACACTTGCATCATGGTCTACAAGCAGCCCACAGTCAGTGCATAGGTCAGACTCCACTGTCTTTGTACTCCTAATGTGTATGTCTCTTTTTCAGATGCAACTTGTATTGCTACATGGATGGTGGCTACCTTTTGTTGTGCTGTCATATTTAAACATCAGGTTTTCTTGACCTTTCAATTCCTCTCTTTGTGACCGCTTTCATCTCTGAGGCAACTCACTGGTGACAACTCTTTGATGGGAGCGGCCCATCAAACCCCATGTCAGTCAGTGTAATCACATGGCTAATTGCTAGTCCAACATTTCCCTCTGCAAAATCAAGTTCCTGTGATAAAGATGTATAATGTTCACAAACACTGTCAGAGAGTGAAAAAAATAAACAGGAAAAAGTGAAGTCGTTTTTAGAGGGCATACAAACACATTTGAAATGCAAAAGATACAAAAACAAAGATATTGAATTAAATGTATCTTCATGCCTTAAAAAGGGGAGAAAAGGTGGTCTTTTAAACCAATCATCTGTAGTAATGTGTAAGGAACCAGTGCTCTATACCCATGTTTTCCATTGAACTGCTTAAAATCCTGTAACATGCATCTTGCCACTGAATCACAGGTGCAAACTGGTGTGAACACTTTTTAAAACTTTCTGCACACCCGCGTTGGGTTTCACCCAATGAAACAATCCCTGGACAAATCATTCAACTCCTCAACAAATGGTTGCAAGGAAA